GACTACAACTCCTGTCAGCCCGAGTAAGCAGAGCCAGAAGTCAGGGGTGATGAAGTCCAGTAATGCTGGGCTTCAGTTGTGTGGACTGGTCCTTGAATTTTGTTTAATTTTTCAAGTAAGGAAACCTGTTCCTGGGCATTTTATGTAATGACTGTGTCCTTACACAGATACATATACTTTGAATTAAGTTCCTCTAGGATAGTGGACCTTATTCCCTAGTATGCTTTGTGTGAATTCAACATGAACATTTGTTTAATATATGTATATTGGCACTTGGTTTATAGGAACTACTTTCTAGTAGTCTTCAAAGCCTTGTTGATATTCTCTTGGGCAAAGTGCTTACTCCACACAAGTTACACAAGTCAGAAACTTTGAGAAACTGAGACTGTATACTCTGTGTGCATCTTGATTTGCATCAGCTTCTGAAACTTCACGTAGAGTACATCTTTGTCTTGCTTATAAAGTGAACTCTGTGCATGCATCAGAAAAAGTGTGTGAGCTGTACTAATAAGCAATAATATTAAGTGTTTGATTTTTCTTTCTTGGAACACGTGTGTGTTGATTTGATTTATGTGTATAAATGCTAGCTTACTTGAGTACTGTACCTTTCTGTTGTGTGGCTATTAGTTTATCACAAATTATATCTTAGTCATAAATGTAAGTATTGCCTATGCATTCAAAGTGCTTCCTCAGAAGTAAATCCTATTGAGTAGTTCCTAGAATGTGTGCTAAGAATTGCAGTTGTAGTTTTTTATTATTGATTTTTGGTCCATGGGGATGGCCTACAGTTACCTTGCAGACTTCTGTCATCCTTGATTAAGTGTCTCCGGGTCTTTTATATTCAGCATAGCAGTTGGGTTCCACCAAGTGCTGCATAGTTTTCTATCAGGTGCTGATTGTATAATTTTTTAAAACAGCAACAGATGCAGTATCACACATTGGGTATGGAAATGCATGATTTGTGTTTTTAAAGTGGCAGTTCTCTCTTAGGTTATTATTAACATACTTTAAGAATGGGTATAGCAGAAACCATACTTGTAATTATATGCAATAATTCAGCGATGAACTTTACTGTTCATTACTGTCTCTCTGTAGTGTATTCCACTTCATAATAAGTCTGAAATTTCAACCAGGGTGTTTGGTATCATCACAGACTGAAGATGGAATTACAACTTTAATTTAGGTAATTTAATTCAAGTGCCTTCTTGCTGCTCGAAATCCTGGAAGTGATGATGACAATTGTGGGTATGTTGCAATGCTTTTATTTTGGAACCCTTCATCTTCCCATTCTTTGAAGCTGAGCTGTTCAATTAAATATCTAGGTAAAAATGCCTTTTGTTGCGGCCTTGTATACATCTCTTTCACATGATCAAATTTTGGTTTATTAAGCCAGGATGTGCAAGAGTTTTATGTACCCACACACAGCCACCTCTTTCTTGTGTGATTGGGCTAACAGACTGGGAAGCCACAGTTAACCATAGTCTCATGTTACAAACTGGGAATTATGGTTCACAGCTTCCAAACAAAGCAGGAGTCATAAGCCAACTTTAAACCATGGCTTCATGTCCTGGCTTGTTTGGAAGCCATTGCCCATCGTTTTCTGGTTACATCCAATGAGACATAATGGTTAACTGTGACTCCATGACTTTGTTCATCACTTGCATGAAGTGGAGGCTGATTGTGTTTCCAGCAGTTAATGCACCATAAATAATAATTTTGTATTGGCATATCTGTCACTGCTATTCTAAAAGACGTTAGTGTTTTTGGTTGCTATTATTGTTTCAGAAACCTTGTCTATATGTAGCCACAAACCCTGAGAAGATTGTGGGATTTCCCCCACCTCCCTGAGTTTCTGATAGTCATCTGGCCTTGTGCTCATTTGATGAAGAAAACCTTGGCCACATGAACTCTGGCATCTCTGGAGGTGGGGGAAAACCCCGTATTCCAATTTCAGCGTTGGTGGTCACGCAAAAGGTGCTGGTTGCTGTAGTTTGAAAAACAGTCCTGAAGTAGCTTGGAGCATTCTGCTAACTTTAGATTAAATATACCATTGCAGAAGCTGTTGTCACAATACATATCTTAAAATTGGGATTTGAGTAATGTAAGTAAGATTTTTGCTGCTTTTCTTCTGGTGGACAAATTGAAGACTTAAGTATGTCTAATATTTTTGCTACTTTTTTTTTTTTAAGAAAATGAATGGTGGTGTCATATTAACAAGAAGAGATTGGGAACACCTTTAGAAAATTATTTTACAGGTTGTAGCATTGCAACATGAAAATGTAAACTTTGCAGAAGGGGGAGTAGCTTCAGGAATGGTTCACCTTTATATATTTGATTGTGCTAACCTGGTATTGCTAACAGATTTTCAAAGGATTTTACAGGAAAAAAACACCTAAATAGAAATATACAGGGGTCCATTCATTGTGTCTCCAAAGTTCAAGAAGAATTGCAGAGGCAAACTTGCACCCTACTTCCCCAATTCCAAGACGAAGGTGGCAGAGTTTGATGCTGTAAACACTGAACTATGGCAAGGTTTGCAGTTCATCTTGTCTTATTACTTTCCAGACCTCTACATAATTAAGTAGAAGTTTAGCGATTAAACAGCTTCATAAACCACCTTTTGGGGCCATGCCCTCACAAAGCAGCGTACACTGATATGGAGATGATTTATAGCATCTGATGGGCACACTTTATCATGAAACAGCATCTAGACTTTGTAGGCCTGATAAAGCCTTATGATTTCCAAATTAAGGAGCAGCTCAGAATTTCGTAGCTGAAAACATATTAAGGAAAGGCAGTCTGGAAGAGAGGTGGTTTTAAGGGCCACTTGAAAGCCTGCACTGAAGTGGCCAAGTGTAATTCATTCAGGAGGGAGTTCTGTAAGTGTGAAGGCCCCATTGCTTGTGCCCAGCAATCTTGATGGTGAGCACATGAGCTGGACCTCTGCAGCTGTTCTGATGAGTGGGCAGGGAATCTGATCCTGCCCATCTCGGGATCTTGGAGAATGATATGAGGGATCTCTCTTACTACTGCTGAGGTTTAACATCCCACTGCTTTCCAAGCTTCTCTGAGCCTTGTAGGAGGTCTAGGAGATCCTGAGAGATCTTGCACTTGTGAACTCCTGAAATGGTTTGTATGCAAAATATGGATAAATGCACATTGGTATATAAATAAAACTCTATTTTAGTCTTCCTCTTCATTGAAAGTGATCATATCTCTTGTATGTCAGCTATGGATGTCAGACTGATGGATTCCCTTTCCCTCTAACACAGTGGTTCACAAAGGGTGTGGTGTGCCACACTGGTGTGGCAGGAGAGGGCAATCCTAGTTGTGATACAGAATCGCCATTCGAACTGTGTGCTGGAGAAGACTCATTTATAATAAAGATTTTTAAAAATGGTGTGGCACGAGCAAAAGGTTTGAGAACCACCGCCCTAACCCAACCTGGAAAATATTCTCCTTAATATCAGCTCTATGAAGACTGGCTGAGATTATTTAATGGTGCAAGGTACTCTACCTATTGTTATAAAATCACTTTCATTCCATGCAAACCGTTCCATATGTTAATAAAGTACATTTCATTTCTTTTTAAAGACAGGCCACTTACAATTTAAGATATTCCAGGGGAAGGTGGAATCGGAGGTGCATACCATGTGGTTAGTGTCTCTCAATATTAATTTTCATAAGCATGTTCCTTCTACTCTGCACAGCTTAAAGGGTAGAAGAGCAGATTGGGTTCCCAAAATTCTCCTTCAGTCCCAAAGCCATTACTAGGCAGCTAAGTCCAAGGCTGTGGTTAGAGGTTGAAGAGGGAGTGAAAAATGTGTTTTGCTTTCCTTTACCTTTCTTTGTCATGAGTTTACATAATGCCTCACACTGACCTTTGGGGCATCTGGCTCAAATTAAACCCATAATATTATCAGTGTGGTCTAAAGCTTCTGCCTAATATGACTAACATATGAAAATCTGCCCAATATTTTAAAAGTTTTAATGTACTTGTTTTGACTTTTAGCAACTGGAATGCATATCTTCCTTTTTTTAAAAAACAAACGTACAAATTCAATATGTCCTGTGACACAGCTCAACTTTGGAAGTCATGTTCTTCCCTTCTCACATGGAAATCTCAACATCCGTCTGTGGCCACATACATAATAATGTATGTTTCTCAGTAATAAAACTATGGTGTTCTTCCTATGTTTAAAGGCATCCTTTCCCTTAAATTGCTTATGAGATCTGGTTTGGGAAATGGGACCAGTGTTAAAAACCATGAACTAAAAGTCAGCAGCTGCCACTGAAGAAAAGGAGCAGTTGGTGGGTAAGAAATCCACTGATCTCCTTTTCTTTCTTTTTAAATAATTACTTATGGATAAGCCCCTTCCTGCTACTTGGCTATGTTTGCCGCAGGTATATTCTGTGAACATTTGAAGTTATGTAATTGCAGTTTACCGTCACATTAAAAAATGACTAATGACATAATTTGTGTTTTCAAAATACATAAACAGCTCAGCATGAGAGGGTGATATTTTCAGGAGACAAGGGTGAAGTGCTAGGGTAGAAGGTGGAGATGGCTGATATTTCTCTTTAATGAGCTGTGGCTTACATATCCCTTTGAATAATGTATATTGTTTGCTTATGTTCTTCCATATACATGAGCTGTTTCACACCAAGATCTAGCCATAATTGGGAGCTACGGTAGTCTTGTATAACAAGATGTTTCATGTATTTTAAATAGCTGTCGTCGTTGAAAGAAATGACTGTTGGACCTTAAGCTAGCCTTGGGGGTATATAGCCAATTCTGTCAGAACAGCTTCCTCTTCAGGACTGCTGTCAAACTTACTACTCTCTTCCCAGGACAATAACCCAGGAAGCAGTTCTGGAACTTCCCTCTCCTCGCACTCCTCTCCAAATCCATAGTGGGTGGGGAGATCTGAGGCACAAACAAAAACCATTCTGCTAAGAGAACTACCACGTTGGATACCACCCATGGGAACCAGATATCCATGTTGATTTCAAGTCTGGTGTACTTCCCAGGTGTGTTTCAGTGGGTTGACTGAGTTCACTTTGTCATTTCTTCTTCCTTAAAGATGGAATTCTTCCTCCCATGAATTTATGTTTCCAGTTGTTTCATGGAGAGCATTCCTGTATCATAGGAGGGCATACAATGAGGAAATTAATACAAAACGAGAACTTTTCCCTCTAATACTCCTAGCCATACAAACAGGTGTGTGTCAATTGTACTGGAAAAGAAAAAGATGAACCTCCCCTCCCCATGGACTGCTTTACCAAAGAGGATTCCTCAGGGAAAAACTTATGGATTGCAGCATGCTCTGAATCTAGTGAATGTGTAGTTTGACCCCTTTTGGACATTGAATCCCAGTCCTGATTGTGGTTTTCTTGTGTGCTTTTGTATGTTTTTCTTTAAATTGTAAACTGTGCCCAACCTTGCCTCCTTGATACATCATGTAGTATTACTTAGAATGTGAAAACAACAACAACAGAGTCTTGTAGAACCCCTTTAAGGTGCCACAGTATTTTGTTGTTTGCTGCAACAGATTAACCCAGCTACCCATTTGCAGCCTGGCATGGTGGCAGGGGAGCAGCCAACATCTCAGACTCCAGCGTGGCTGGGAAACACTTTGCACAGGAAGACACAAACAGGGCAAGACTTCAGAGAGCCAATCAGCATCATTCTAGGCTCCCTGGGGTGTGTGGCCTGGAAGTGGACCAGACCAAAGTCTGTGCTGGCTCTGTCTGGTCTGCTCCTGGGACATAAAAGGTGGTCCTTGCCTGCTTGCTCCACTTCTGCTTCAATTGACTTTTCAAACTACCTACCCTTTGTTGTTTACTTTACCTCTTGCTTCCATCAGGGGAGGGTTTATGATCTAATGACATTGCTATGGACAACCGTTGGTCCCTGTTTTTTAGGGCTGGGGAGGAATTTTGCCCACAGGCAGATTAACTTTGGTCCTGTGCATTCTTGCTTACCTCATAGTAATTGTCATAACTTATGACGGTAGGAGAGGTATTGAGCCAGTTACTTAGGAGAAAGGGACAAGGCAGGGTCACCCTGCCCCATCTCATAGGGTGATTCCCTTAAGAGATTCTGGAGGGCAGCACTTTCCATCCAGAAGTATATTGTATATTGTAGGTTGTATATTGTAGATAGTAAGGTTCTTAACTTGAATTGTGCCTTGCTGTTGTATTAATACACTGAGGGGGGAAATAAATTGTGGAAGAGGAGTAGGCATTATTTCTGGGGTTAGTGGAGAAGTGAAAAGTCAGTGATACAATTTCAAGGAGAACTTTTAAATAGAATTTCCATTGTTACTGATGTACTGCAATTTCCCCCCATTATTTGTATACTGCAACTGTTTTAAAGATGGTGCATGGCCTAGGGAACCCTCTAGTGACTTTCTCTGCCAGGTGACACACTTTTGTTCCATCAGTTGAGTCACTGGATTGCAGGGCTCATGAATATTGTGGTACTAAATTAAATAATGGTGTAGAAGTGGGAATGCAAATGAAAAGAGGAAAATACTATAATACACACAATGTCAGTAGTGGACACTGTGAAGCACAGTCATTTAGGAACTTACCTCAGGTTTGAGCTCCTACTTTATCTTCGATATCTGGTTTTGCCTCTGCAGGAAGTTTTTGGTTTTTTTTAAAGTGGGGGAGCATTCATCAATGCAGTCCCCACCCCAGTTTTATTACATCATATTCCCTTTTTGTAGAATAAGACACATTGAAAGCTGCTAATTGTCTGTTACGAGTAATTTATTTGACTGTGGAATAATTATCATTTATATCACTTGACAAGTACGTATAAATCAACATGACCTTTAACTGCATCGGTTGTTTTAGAATTGGTGTAAAGAAATTCAGGGAACTTGGATGATTTGGTGAGTGAGACTGCTGACCCAATGCTGAGTTGCAGGGAGAGGAAATATTGACCAATCCAAATTAGGTAACCGAAAATTATGCTTCCTGCTGATAAGCTACTTTTCATAATATGCAAACATAGCACTCGAGGTAGTAAAACTGTGAGGCAGCTATACTATATCTTATTTAGGAGCTGTAAAATGATCCCATGACAGTAGTAATTCATTCAGTTTCCCACAGAACAGTTTTGTTATGAGGGTTTTGGAAAGCATGTAGAGAAAATGCAGGCATGACCCAGCAAATGTTTTTAACAGTTTTATTAAGCATTAGACTGAAGCTTTTCCTTTGAGTGGGTGAATATGTGGATTAATATAATTCAGCTGTAAGAAAGCCATGAGAGCTGCCAATATTTATTAGGGTAATGAACAGCAGCTAGCATTTTGATGTGTGTTTATCCATATAGGCATAAGATGGTATCCAGTTAAGTCATAGATTTTGACATGTCCAAGTGGAGTATGATTTAGTTGGATACACCCATGTGAAAAGAAGCAAGAATTCAGTCGAAGATGCAGTCAACCTCTCTTTGAGGATTGATCTATCAATTGAAGGGAGCTGAAACTGAATGCTCTTTCATTGTGAAATGTAAGACACTATACCCTAGAAAGATATCAAGCCGGAAGACAAAGGAGTGTACAATAAAGCAAAGCTAATGAGTCCAATAAACAGCCCCAAGGTTATAAGTGATCTGTCTAGGGGGATACATCTAGCAGAAGATCTAGAACAACTGCAAATGTTTGCATGTTGGACAGACACTGAAAAGAACCAGTTGCCCCATTAACCTAAAAATCTTCAAGCATTACAATGCAAAGATGTTTTGATTTGCTTTCCCTGATAATTTGTATAGTGACATCCAAAAGTGGACCTTATGATAAGGGTTTGTACGGACAATCAATAAAAAGGGGGGAAAGGGCTTGCAGGAAAGTTGAAGAAGTTCTTTGCATCTGTTTTCACTGTGACAGACGGGCAGATTGTTGTGCTTGAACTAACTTTCTGAGGAGCTGAAGCAAATAGTGATGAAAAGAGATTGTGTTCTAGGCTGTACTGACAAATTGGAAACCAAATAAAACAGTTTTGCGCTGACAGGACCCAGGTGGAAGATGGTGTGTCCTGGAAGAGGGGGCCTGGAATTGTCGGTAGATAAAAAGGAATAATTGTGGTGGGCGGGGGGGGGGGGGCAGAGCAAAATGCAGAGATGAAGAATAACAGAGAAGGAAGGGTGGAAGGAAGAAAGATGTAAATGTTCAACATTTATTACTGAAGTTAATTCTCGTGCTTTGGGGGGGGATCTCTCATATAATATAGCAGTGAACTGATTCTTATTTTATGGCTTTATTCATTTTAAATAGGCTACTTTCCTAATTACAAAAAAAGTCACTTGAATGCCACATTGTGCTTTTGTAGGAGCCAAAATATTGCCCGTTACTGGCCAGAACTAGTTAGTTTCAGCAAGGTGGTGGCCTCATTTGCCTTCCAAGGTTGCAGTGCTATATGACATCCGTTTTGGTGATGTGGTTACTGCAGCCAAGGGCAAAGCTTCCTGCACTGCATTGCCCTTAGTCTGAATAGATGAACCTTTCTGCACACTCTTTTGATATTATCCCCAAAAGCTTCCAAAAGGGGGAAATGATTTTACTGCCATCAAAGAGTGCCCCCAACTCTTGTCTCACCCCTGTTGTATCCCAGATGCCATCAAATAGGGACCTGTGATACACATATCACAACACTTCATGCTTTATTTGATAAGGCAATGAGTGTTTACTTGGTTTGGGGTGGGGAGATAATATTTTCCAAGCAACAATTTGCTGTGTTTTGAGCTCTGGGGAAATGACATTTCCTTACAGTGGTTGTGCTCCCTTGATGGAAACTTTCTGGAACTCCTGCAACAGCTAAGAAGTGTGTGCAGAACACACACACAAAGTTGTCTAGGTAAGCCCCAGTGCAACTGCAAAAAGAGTACAGTGTGTGAGTTCACCCTCCACTGAAGGGATAGAAGAAAGATTAAAATACTTTTAAGAACACTGTTTACTTCTTTGGCAGTCTAAAGAAACAGTGGTAGGTGACAGTATAGTGTTAAATGATCAACACAGGAAGAAGAGCCCCCTTTCTCACTGCTTGGATTGCAGAAAACTGATCATGTAAAGAAGAGTAGACTCTAGGTTGATGCTTGCTAAGCTGATCTTTGATGTGGTCATGAAGGAGGTGTTGAATGCAGCAGAGGCGTGAGGAGGGTGAAGGTAACCTTTAGATTGGGGAACGAAGATTGTGTAATTCATTTGATTTACCTTCTTACTGCACCATCCATGTCGCTTATCAGAGTGATTATTTTTCCAGATTTCTCTGTGGTTACTCCTGTTTTCTATGTGTTCATAGTCTGTTTAATCAGCAGTTGATCATCAAAGAATGTTAACAACCATGCTAACAGGCAGTGTTTGAAAAAATCCATTTAGGCTGTGAAGATAACAAAAGGGCACAATCCACAAAAAACGACCACTTCTTCTCCCCACTTCTGGTTCCAAGACTAGCTTACTTAAAGTTATCAGAAACACATTGTGGATAGTGCAGGGATTTCCCTGCCAGCCACTTGAAGTGACACTTCTTCTCTGAACATTTCTTGTTTTGTTTTTAATTCTAGCATCCTTGAGCACAATGAACAAGTTTTAATGCACAGACTCCAGGGGAAAGTGCTGCAGCACCTGGCCAAAGGAGGTTGCACCTAGGAACACTCCTGCTGTTTGAAGTAAGTAATGGGAGTAATTTTGTTACAAGGAAAATTGCAATTGCTTTATATATTAATTGGTGTTTTTGTGTCTCAGAGGCTATGCTGATGTTCTGTAATGCATGGAGAAGAAGGATCAATTAGAGGGTCAAATTTGATCGTCGCAAGTCTATGTGTGTTGAACTTTGGCCTTTCCCAATCATGTAGGATGAGGATATGAGGAAGAGGGAAAGCTTTTAACAGCAAAAGAAGTGCATGGACAGGTGGTCCTCACAACACTTCCATGACCACAGCTTACTTTCCTATGGCCTGTCCCTTCAGGTGCCTTTTCTCCCTTTCTCTTGACCAAGTTCCTGATACAGCAAATGAGCTCAGCTGGGAAGGGGAGGCACTTGGGGAGAGGGGGCTGCAAGGAGGAAAGTGACAGCAGCTCCCTGCTTGCATGTTCCTCTTTTGCTATGAAAATCAGACTGCACTGAACTGTTGCCTTCATGTCCTGTTTGAGTCTGTCTCTCAAATAGCAGCTTGGGCTAGGAAAGAAGTACAGTGCTTGTGCACAGATTCACAAGAGTTTTATTTAGGTCATGTCCACTTGGAGTTTTTTTCAGGGCTGGGATATGTCCATCTCTGCAAGCCAGAACGTATCAGTGATAATTCATACAGCAGGGCGGAGGTAGGATGTATAGCTTGCATGGCAGGGATATGCAAATTCAGAACCAGTTCCAGGCTTGAAGGAGCTTAAGGCAAGAGTTATACCAATTGGCTCAAGGCCCAAAGCCCTGCATTTTCCCATGAAAAAATGGGAGTATGTAGAGATTTTTTTTGAGAAGCACTGTCTTTCACTTTGCATCAGATTTACTCAATGGAAATCAAGCAAGGGAGTTTGACATTGCAACTTGACTTAATCAGCTTCTGGCACCATCCCTGCTTCTTCCTTGCTTCCTAACCACACCAAGAATAGTGGAATAAGTGAATTATGAATCAAGAGAATAGGCTTGTGTAAAACCCAACATGGCACTTGCTTCCCACACTTCCAGTTTAGCAAACTGAGCAATTGCCTTGTAGCTCTTTCCTAAAAATACATTTTGTTCCTTGGTTGCTTTGCAAAGAGCCAGCTGTTATATTGAACATGCTTTTATGCAACGAAGCCTATAGCCAAGACTCAACACATGGAACTCAAAACAATTGCACATTTTCCCCCTTTCTACCCTTGTCTCCATTTTTCTCCCCATGTCATAGTTGCAAGGGATCTGCCCTCTTGCGCACTGCAAAGAGCAATGCTGTGCTATACATTTAATTGTTTAATTTACTACTATTACCTATAGGTACGTAAGATAGAAGTCTCAAATATAGAACATAAAACTAAATTATTTTAAAAGATATAGGCACCTTTAAAAAACCCTCATTAAAAATCACAGTAGGTGTATACTTATATCAAAACTAACAGCAATGTCACGAAACGAGGGGGCAAGCTTTCTGAGAATCCTTCAGGCTGGATGTTCAACAAGCCTGGGGGTAGCTGAAGCCAGCTATTTCAGGAAATAGGTATTTGGGGCCTTTGCAACCAGAAGTCTTGTACTCTATGCAGAAGTAACATATAAGAATTGTTGCGCTTGAGTTGATTCTTGGTTTAGGGCTGCTTCTAGATTTGGAGGGAGGTTTGGCAAAGTGCTAACTGGTGGCCCACATTGGGCTTAACTGTTGGTGGCAGGCAACAGCCAAGCTCCTAACAGTGCTGGGCTACCCTGTAAATTTCCCATAATGCTTCTAATCAGTGTTATGTTAACAGCATTGTGGAAGTTTGTTTGTTTTTTTATGGAGGCTAGACCCAGATTACTTGCTGCTGCTCAGAGTTCCAGATTGTGGACAGGAAGGGTGGGCCCTATCAAGGTGATGGGACCATGGTAGCTTCCCAAAGACAGCAGCTACTGACCCTGGCCCTACTATTGGTGGTAGCTGATTACACAATCTCTAATGGTTTGGAGAACGACGCCAGGGGAGCACTTTGCTTAGCGATGCATCTGTAGAGTACTAGGATTTCAAGAAAAGTTGGTGGCTTATAACGACATATTCTTCTGCAATTGTGTGGCTATTGGAATTGTTTTATCAAAATATCAACATCCTTGCAGAATTTTGAGTTGTCTTTGTCAGTTCTGTATTCATATTTTGACTGTGCTCGTACTAGTCTCCTCATGACAAAAGGTTTTAAATGACATGGTTAGAACAAAATAAAGTCCTCTTTCTGCACCATGGCTGTGAATGACACTGGAATGTTTGAAATAGTAGCATAATTAGCAGCTACGTGACTCAGACTACATTGTGCTATTTTTTGTTTCGTAATTAAAAAACAGAAAAAGACAACTCAATATGAATTGTAGTGAAATGCTTCACCTCTTTCACCCTTTCCATCGTCTGTCCTTTTATTTTTATTGCATTAGAAAACTGGGGACCTCTTCATCTTTCTTTGTTACATGGCCTGGGAGGAAACAATTGTTGAAAGATAATGAAGAGAGAAACAAAAACCTTGCAGGCTTTTCCCTTGTTAGAAACACAGTGCCTTGTTACTTTCACACGTGGCAAAATAATAGAAATCACTGCAAGCTATTTTGTTCTGATCACTGCATTTGCTGCTTTTGCTTTAATTTGGCAGAGTGGAATAGCCATAGAATGAAAACAGGCATTTGGTTTCAGCACAGCATAGAACTGTTTCTGGGGAATTCCAGCACCAACTTCACTGTTTTGGGGGCATTCCATGAAGCATCTGTGAAAATTATTTGCCTTGAAAGAGGTGTGGAGTGGCTCAGTAGTCCTAAATATCAATAGTCTTGGAAAGAAAATTGGGGGCAGGGGCCGGAAACCAGAGCCATTTTTTGTTGTCAGCATTCATTTTCGTGGAGAGTCTCCACTGTTGTAATCTCTGATCCCCTAGCTCCTGTGTTAGATGCAAAGATATGTTTTTAAAAAGCCACATTTCAGAGCTGTGTGGTCTGTGACTACCCATAGCTCACCTTTTAGCACCTGTACCTAAATGCCATGCTTCAAGAGAGAGGCTGAAATACCACATGAGACCTGTTTCTACCATGCCTTCATAATCCTGTGCTAACATTTTTAACTAGGAGAAGTTTTGCTGTGCTTATTCCAAAGAGTCAATGAAATACATTTTGTTGGACTGATGTATTGCTAGTAGGTTTTTGAGTTGTACAGAATGATTCTTAATGGCTCATTGAGAGAGTTTGTGTACCTCAGAATTGTTTGGCATATCAGTTGGCATATCAGTTATAGTATATGTCCATAGTCATATATTCCATGAAGTCAAGGTGGCAACACACCTTTTAAATGTGCCGCGATGTCATCTGATATCAAAGGCAAAGTGAGGGGATCCCAAGCCTTGCTCCTCAGGTCTGCAGAAATCTAGATGTATTTGTGTTAAATTGAAAATGGTGTGTTAATGGTTGGATTATTATCTCTTTTATGTTTGCTTTTATATTTGTATGATCCTTTAAGCAATCCTTTGTGGGGGGGGAGTGATGGGGAGCAATGTTAAAATTATGATAATAAACATATTTGCATCCTTCATTTAGGATCACCACCTACGTTTACAAAATTACTTTTGTATTTTATAGTTGCTATGTTTGATTTTTTTTTTATTTCATTTTATTTTAAAACAGTATAACTCTTTGGGCTATCACTGGGCTCCCAAATAAAAACCAAAATGAGCAATTCAGTGTCTTGAATTATTGTGACATATTTATATTTGTATAATGCTCGTAGCTACCATTGTTTCATAACAGTAAACTGGCTTGATCTAGTGCATAGGTGCATCCCATATTCTACCACCACACATGAGATTCTCCCAGCCCTATTGATCTACTACTGGTATATGTGTCAGGCGTGGGGGCTATAAGTATGGATTGCCATACTCAGGCATTGATCGGATCATGCAACTGAGACTTGTAATTAGCACAACCTGTCAAAAGTCCTGACTGTATTAATGTCATAAATATTTGATCACAATTTTAACATTAAAAAAACCAACAACAGATTTGTTAAAGAGCATATATTAACTGATCTTTAGCTGGAATGTTGTTTGGACAGTATACTAACAACCAAACTTAGGCGGTACTTTGGAAACAAACTGTATCACAAAGGAACTTGCCTGGCTAGTTCAACAATGGAATCCTCCACTGGATTTTAACCCAGACTAACCCCACCACCCCAAACTCACAATAGTATTTTTGTTTGTCATTTTATCTAATATAATGCATTTTTTCCTTATTTTGTTAATGTATGCAAAGTCACCTCTAATGTATGCATTTTTGCACATGTCTTTTGGTTGGAGACATCCAACTTAAAATTTGGTGTGAATTTAAATGAAAACCAAATTGAATACCTCCCTTGTCCCTAGTTAAGAGTGTCTCCAGTGTAAGCAGTATGTGTTATAGGTGGCAGGGAAATGTGCTTTCAGATGTATGCAACATTCTCAGTGTGGTGCTTGATATGCCCTGGTGAAGCAATTTGTCTTCGCTTATTATCTTATGCACTACCATAAGAATTTCCATCACCCACCAGTGTGTCTTCTTACATTTGACAGGTGCAGAAAGATTCAACCAGATGTTCTCTCATATCACCATTGATATGTAATATTATGAGTTACACGAATTACACAGGTGTGGTGACATTGTCACGTAATGGTGGCGTGTGTCTCCTGCAGCTGCAGATTCTCTTCCTAGCCTCTGAAGGTGGTAGATAATTGCTCTTGAAGTGTTTACATAATCAGCAAGAAATAATTAAAAAGCTAGCACAGATGCTCTTATTTTACCACATTTGATTCTGAGGTTCTACTAAGGCAACCAGAGTTGTGTTTGTTGTGTGCGCATGCATGTATGTTTCTCAAAATCAGCTGTAACTCTTGAATTTTTTCTTAGTATTCAGCCTACACATAAGTGTAGATAACTTAGAAGTTGAAGTAGTGTTTGTCTACTGTGCCTACAACTGCAGAAGGTGAAGTGTTTTGACATACGTTCTCCCAAAAACTCTGGAGGGTTTCCAAACATTTCTTTCATCTGTATGTGTCTTTTTAACAAAGAAACATGAGCAAAGACAATTCAGATTTCTTCTTCCCTTGTTGTTAAGGCTGTTAATCGCCAGGGAACTTTGTCAAAACATTTGCGGTAGAATGGATCTAGTGTCTTGGAGCTGGTTCATCTTGTCACCAACCAAATGTAAGCTTTGTGCTCTGTATAATTATTGACATATCTGGACTGTGCAAATGTATGCCCATCATGTTCTATCCATGTTGTACACTGATTTCACATCTCTCCATCCAAAGACAGTGGTGTTTTTTTCCAGTCCACACATAAAGATCCCTGTTGCGGGAAAATATGTGCACACATAACATTAAACCATATTTTGGTGCTATGTGAATGAGTCTTCAAGGACACACACTCTGCTCACGTTCCTGAGAGTTTTCCTGGCTATGCTATATAGGTCCAGAGGGCTCGGGTTTCAAGCCCTCTACTTGTGTGACATTGCTGAATGTTCCACATGACACTTTCATAGTCTCTTGACTTTAAAGAGTTAAAGAAGAGTATGCATTTTGAAAGGGCAACCACCTGGGGAGAGGAAGGGAAGTAGGGAAAGTTTGCCACTTAACTATTCATCCTAGGAGCAATTGCTACCCAACAGGTAAGATGCATACCTGGTTTGATTATATACTACACAAGCCTATTTGGGTTTTATTGTTGTTTATTGCATAGTTTTACAATTCTAGCAAAGTTGTGCAATGTAAAGCTTGCAATGGTGCATTTCTTGAGAATAAAAATAATTTTGAAAAGGGTGGCGTTTTAGTTTGGCTGATGAAGAAATCCTTCTCAGTGACATAGATGGGAAGGGGACAACTTAAACCAGAAAAAAAAAATTGAATTGGCTCCAGGTTGCTACTGTATAAACACAGGCTTTGCTCATAGTTTGACTGCAATTAGTTCTAGCCCTAAGAACTAACCAAGAGCAAGCTTGTAGTACAATATGCAGTCATTGTAATGTTATGTAGACATGGCTAATGTAATGTGAACCCCTTAAACTTACATAGAAATTATTAGTAGTAATAATTTTTGATTTGACTTAAAGCATTACATTGCTTGACAATGCTTTAAAAAAATGAACACAGTCCTCTTTGATTTCAATGTTGGCTCAAGATCTTAAGTCGCTGACGGTATACATCTGCAAGAATTAGTGAGCCCTGCAGACAAATATGTTTGGAAGCAAAATATTGTTAAATCATTTCCTCAGCTGGCTATCTGCCAAGGTGTTCTGTATCCTTTTCTTGCATTGATAAACATCATAAATACCTAAATGGCTACAAAAGGCTGTTGAGAGCCATTTACTATTTTGGGTGTGTATCATGATAAGCAGGCGCAGCAGAAAAACAAAACCACGAACTTGAGACTTTGGAAGGGAAAGCAAAAAGAGAGAGAAGTGTTTGCACATAAGAGAAAATGAATTAAGAAGTAGATAATTATAAAGTTTATATGTGCAAGGCCTTTTGGTTTTAACCCCCCCCTTTTTTTTAACCGTGATAACGATATTGCATTGTTGGACTATGAATTAGAGCACTCTTAACTCCTAGCCCAAAAGTGTGATCTCTCTTCAGGCATTATGTCTTAATAGAGAATGAAAACATGAATGGTGGTTATACACATTGCTCTTTCTGCCAATGTCCTCTCATGCACTGGTCTCAATGCACTTTGCCCCTGACTTAACCGCATCTCAAGAAGCATTTTACATATGTACAAGTGAATACCAGGCTTCCACTCCACAGTTCGTATACATTTGGCTAGGAGTCACATTTTGACAATTCCTGTGTTGTGAGACAATTTTTTGAGGCAACATTTACTGATCTGTTGTAGGTCATAGCTGTCAAGTGTCCCTTATTTGAAGGGACAGTCCCTTATTCCAGCGCCATGTCCCGTTGCTGTCCCTTATTGATGGATGTCCCTTAAATGTCCCTTAAATGATGTCCCTTAAATTTCAAAGGAAGCAGCTCCTCTCCCTCCCTCCCTGCCGGCCAGGGAGGAGGGAGGCTCCAACTGTGTTGCTTGGCTGTGTTGCTCACCCAATAAGAAGTCTAAGAACGACTGGGGGGTGGAGCTTGCATGCCTCGTGTGTGGCTAGTTAATGCAAGCTGAGGGGGTTTTTGAATGCTGGACACCATTTTGTTGCACGTGCTGCTGCAAACTTTGCAGTGCAAAGCCAGGCCAGGGAGCCATCTTAAGTCGAGGCTGCATAGGCTTGTAGTGCATGTGATTCAGATTCTATTCAGTTGAACCTCTGGTTACAAAGTTGGTTGGACAGTGTTCTCGAAGCTACCAGCATGAGTTTGACCAGACTGCAGGAGGACAGGAAGACTGGAGTGCCTGGAACAGGTGAGGCTGCAGGTCCCTTATTTTGGCTTCTGGTCCCTTATTTTCAAGGCTGCTGGTCCCTTATTTTCAAATCTGTAAGTTGACAGCTATGGTTGTAGGTAGAATCATAGAATCATGGCATTGTAGAGTTGGAAGGGATCCTGATTATCATCTAGTCCATGGGTCGACAGACTAAGGCCGGATCAGGCCCAATTGCCTTCTGAACCCAGCCCATGGATGGTCCGGGAATCGCCGCGTGGATCGCCATCACGCATGTTCTTTCCCTCTCCCTTCCTCTCCCTCACAAAGTGGCGGCTGCGGCGCCTCCTCCTCCTCCCTCCCTCCTCCTGGCTTCTGCCTGCCCTGCCTAGAGGAAGAATGGGGCTGGGCTTTGTTGGTGCCAGCAGCAGCAGCGCTTGAGCGGCCGCCATTTTAAGCAGCCCCTCTCTGGAGCCTTTTCGCGGGCCACTCATCATCTTGCCACCGCCGCCAGCTCCTGCTGCTCGCAAGACACAGATAAGCAGCCACTGGGGCTCGTGGTGCTCTTGCATCACCCCCCCAAAAAAATATAGTCCGGACCCCCACAAGGTCTGAGGGACAGTGGACCAGCCCCCTGCTGAAAAAGTTTGCTGACCCCTGATCTAGTCCAGCCCCCTGCAATGCAGCTGTCCCATTCAGGGATTGAACCTGCAACCTTGGTATTATAAGCACCCCACTCTAACCAAAAGAAGTAGCTGCACAGGAGCTCTTCTGCTGCTATTTGTTCTGTTGCCATATGTCCTGGCTCTGATCCTACAAGGAAGGATGGATGATGATTGTGAGGTCGGCAGTATAAATGAGTGAAGTTGATCCGCAGTGTTGTGAGGGGCAGTGTTCTAGATTATATTCTATGGTGCTAGGTCACTTGAGTTTGTGCTTTGCGGCTCCTTATCCCTTTTCTGCTTTGTGGAAGACACAGCTGCAGCAGTTTTGAATACGTTGGGTTTGTCAAGCCTGTAAGCAATTTACCCATATTGCAGGAAATGGAGTGAAGGTGACTGTGTGTTTGAATGCTCGGCATCTCTTAGGGCATCAATATATTCTGTGGTGCATGGTGGTAGGTAACTTGAGTTTGTGCTTTGTGGCTCCTTATCCCTTTTCTCCTTTTTGGAAGACACAGTCTCAGCCTTTTGAGTATGATATGTTCTTAAGCCTGTAAGCAGTTTACCCATATTGCAGGAATTGGGGTGGAAGTGACTGTGTGTTTGGATGTTCTGCATGTCTTAGGGTGTGAATTAAAGCAATTGAGTCCTCCCTTGACACATAATCTTCCTCTACCTGGTGAGTCTTCATCTTTGCTTACTTGTGGTGGTGGTGGTGAGGTCCTTCGTCCTTGTAATCTTGGTTGTGGAGCAGAAAGGAATTGAGGCTTCTTGTGGATATTTGTATCTGGCACAATGAAGTCAGAATGGACCAGTAATGTAAAACCATAGTTTGGTGCTACAGTAATAAACAGCAGTGAGTTGTGAGCATGCACAACCACCTCATCCTCTGATGTGGCCACAAAAAGTTTGATAATTTTTGTTTCTGTTTTAGATTAACAAACACTTGCTCTGTCATCCAAACCTGGAAAAACTGTGATTAGTCTTCACAATGCTTAATTGAAACAACCGAACTTTAAACTATAGTTTATGAAGCTGATTTCCCCCCCCCCCCCAAACCAGTGCCAGATTTAGGTATAAGCTAAACAAGCTATAGCTTAGGGCCCCACTCTCTTGGGGCCTCCCAAAAAATGTAAAGGAAAAAACTGGATGTACATTTCCAAAATATAAGAGAAAAAAATAAATTACCATATAGCATATATTCAACACAAAAAACGACAATTTGTTGTTGACAAAGGACAGCTGGACATTTAAAGGACCCCGTTACCTTCAGTAGTTTAGGGCCTCATCAAACCTAAATCTGGCCCTGCCCCCAACTAACGCTAATTAAGGCTTTGGATAACACATTGAAAGGTGGGTATTAGAAGCAGAAGCTTCCAATAACCTCCTCATGGCCACACCATAGTTTAGCATTAAATCTGGCACATCTTAATGCATTCTATCCGTAGGGGATGATTTGCAACCTCACCTCAAATAACAGCTTCATATTCTGCTTTAGAGGCAATGTTTGGTTAATGCAAACCATAGTTTGCCTAACTTGGTCAGAGTGACTGCAAACTGTGGAAGGAAAAAATGGTGTGGAGATCAAATTTCATGATGATTTGGTTGAGGCAACAATTAAAGAGTGATGGAAAGGTAGGCCTCTGAATTATGAGCAAAGTGAGAATTTTCATCTGCATTAAACTTTGTAGTTTCAGAACCTGTGTGCTGATTTATTATAATTGGTATTCTGGGGCTAGAAAGTATGATTAGGAGTTCCTTGGTTTGACTCTTTATTCTGTGATGAGCTCACTAGGAGGCGTTTCTCTCAGTCCCTCAATGTGCAATGTACTGACTTACAGGGTCATTGTAAGGATTTCCACTAGATAACTCATGTAAAGTGCTTTGTGCACTTGAAAGTACTACGGAAAAGCTCAATATCATTAGGAATTATTTCTAATGTACCTTACAAAATTATTGTGGCATCTGTAATAATGCTAATGGCTTGCTTTTGAATTGAAAAAACAAGATTCAGATTTAAGGCCAAAAAATAATAATGGATAGGCTTATAATAAAATAGATACTTGCTGTAAATCCCACTTTGTGGCAACAAATCATCTGTGCTTTGCTTCTTTGGGTGGTGATGTCACCAAAAGTTCTCCAGAGTTTTCATTAACCTAACTTTTCCCTGAGGTTTTCTTGGGATATGTTGCTCTTAAATGTCCTAGAATCTCTTGGGACTAGACACGTTCCTTGTTTTGCTGTGCTGCTTTCTCAAGTGGCTGCTCTGTGCCTTCTTGCTTCTTTTGATTTGGTCCGCCTCTTTGTGCTGGCAGGCAATCAAACCAGTGTAATTTACTACAGTTCTGCTCCACCAAATTTTGGAAGACAAGAGGGCTGAAAATGTAGTCTGACTTGCCAGAATACAAGGTATATTCCCCTGGTGTTTGTGCCTTTTATAGCTCATCGCTGTCACCCAGTGTACCTTTCGTGGGTTTCTTCAGCTGAGTGAGCAGGCTAGACTGCCTGGGATTCAGATAGCAATGGGTAGATCAAATATTACAGGCTGATCATTTGTAGATAGAGAATGCAAGAATAACCTTGCCTATAAAATACTCAGCTTTTCTTTGTGCATTTGGAAAGTGTTTGTAAGGGAGATGGCTAGCAAAAGGGACGCGGGTGGCGCTGTGGGTAAAACCTCAGCGCCTAGGCCTTGCCGATCGCATGGTCGGCAGTTCGAATCCCCGCGGCGGGGTGCGCTCCTGTTGTTCGGTCCCAGCGCCTGCCAACCTAGCAGTTTGAAAGCACCCCCAGGTGCAAGTAGATAAATAGGGACCGCTTACCAGCGGGAAGGTAAACGGCGTTTCCGTGTGCTGCGCTGGCTTGCCAGATGCAGCTTGTCACGCTGGCCATGTGACCCGGAAGTGTCTGCGGACAGCGCTGGCTCCCGGCCTCTAGAGTGAGATGAGCACACAACCCTAGAGTCTAAGACCTTTACCTTTACCTGGCTAGCAAAAGACAAAACTGAATGTCTTTGGACTAAAGAGGAGATGCACAGAATAATAATAATCCTGCAAACGGTTTTTTTTTTATGAAAACAAAGACCACCACAGCCAACCACAAATGAACAGCCACACCCTAGGCCTACTCCAACCTCTCTCACCACCAAAGGAACACAAGTGAACAGCAGAGAACCTGCACAAGCAACACTGATGAGACTATCACAAATATAGAATTATAGAAATATTTTACCTCTTTTTGTGTGTGTAGGGAAAAGGCTGGTTGGAATTGTACCCTGAATGCCCCAGAGATAGCCAGCACTTTCGCTGACAATCAGACAGTAGTCATAGGAAATACCTCCTGATGTTTTTTATCACAGAAAAGATTGAATGAATCAAACTTCGTAAAATAGAAGAGTAAACTAGCTCATATGTGAGCTATGAGGGAAATAAGGTAAATATGTAGACTTTATGAGCAGATGATATGTAATACACAATAGCAGGCGGCTTTGGGAGCCAGTGTGGCACAGTTAACAGAGTGTTGGCTTTGGACTGGAAAGACTGATTTCAAGAATTCATATGATGGTGTTTGGGACCGGACCTGCCATGGTATGGGCCTCTGGTTCCCCTCCTACATGGATGTCTACAGACATTACACTCACTCTTATTCCCTTTCTCTCTGTACCTACCTACCTACACACACACACACACACACACACACACACACACGTCAGCTGGACAGCAGGGAAAGGGCCTGTGGGGTATAAGGAAGTCACCCTCTGGCTATATGCAGGGCTCAGGTGGTTGATATGCACTGTATGTGGACTTGGATAAGTCACTATCTCTCAACTAAACCTAACTTTCAGGGGTGTTATGAGGATACATGCCACTGACCTCCTTGGAAGTAGGACAAGTTGCACATCTGATAAACAAATGTACATATAGAGAAAGGGAGAACTATTTTCTGGTTAAAGTAGGTATGACTTGGAGCATGTTACATTATCAGTGCACATGGCTTAAATTATTTTAATATTTTCAGTCTGTTACAGGTTGTTTTCATGGGTTGCTTGTACCCGAGTAAGCAAATCGGCACAATCTCGGTAACATATTATTGATTTTAATTGCATTTTACTGTACTGAGGTTTGATATTTATGTTTTAATGTGATATTTCACATAACAGAAATATAATAAAAGTATGCTTCTGTATAAATACTAAACCTATACAGATACTCATATTTTATGCAAAGCATGCAAATTTGTTATGTAAAGGCATTGCATAATTCTTACTCCAGTATGACTTTTATGCACCCTTTTCTTCCTTACCTCATTTGTGAAAGTGGCAGATGAACTGGGCTGTACCATGTTGAACTGAATGCAGTATCTCCTGACCAGTGCATTATAGCCCTCTTTCAGAGATACTGCTTTCAAATGCAGATCCCCCCATTCCAGTTCATTCAGCTTTGTAGGATGGATGAGAGGAATGCAAGAGCCCAAGTAACCTGTGTCATATCCATTTGGTTAATACCCACAACTCATTTTTCATTATTAAATATGATAGTGTTGCAATTCAAAGTTATCCTATCTATGGTTTGTACCCACATTTAATGGCCCATCTAGACACAATTATCCTTCTCTGTTGAATATGTTATTGGAATCTTTAATTCCAACTCAAGTATATTACTCAGTGAGTGGAATTGGCTCTTGCAATAACTAGTAGCCTGAATTGGCAGCAAATTACATTTATACCAAAATGATGGTTTTACATGGGATTCTTACTACGCATCTGAATTATGCTGCTTAGAGTTATAATTGAGGCTGTCATGCTATGGCATAATTGCATAGCAGTAGCATTGAACAATGTTTTAAGAGTACGTGGACAGAATGTGTTGTGATTTCAGAATAAGGGCATGCAATTCTTTGACAGACTAATTTGATTTTTTCATAGTATCTAGTGGCTTTAAAATTTCAGAGTAAATATTATACTGCCTTTGCTTGGAGTTAACAGTGTGATAGGAGTTGTGTCTTACACAAATATTTATCTATGAATTATCAGAACCTGCATTATCAGAGGCTGATTATATAGATGCATGTCACAAAGGGGTCTATAATATGAAATTATGTAAGGGCCTGGTTATTCCAGTGTTCAGTCCTCATGGTGATTCGACTGAATGAAATCACTAAAGTGTAGTCCATCTGAGTCACAGTTGTGTGCTTCTTGGATCCACTGGTTTCAGTGGAAAACACCCATTAACAGCAGTGGAAGTTTGGCTGAATTGTGACCTCATGCATACTTCATAACTCAGTTCTCAGAACACGGGATTAGGGAATTATTTATGCCCTTCTTGGAAGATTTCTTTACCAAGTAGGCAAAGATCTAGCTACATATTACCTACTTTGCATGATTTCCATTTGCATTGCTCACAAAGTTCTGCCTTACATTGTATTCATGAGTTCCTGTATCAAAAGGGACATTTATTTTGTCTCTGTCTTCAGCCTTTTCCTACACAATGCATAGGTGTGGTTTGCTTGCCAGGCTTTGGATGGCTTTAAAAGGATTTTTGTGCATGCCTATGTGCTACTGGAATTGTTTGAGGGACCATTGAACAAACAACAAGCTAGAAAATAGGCGTGCCATGCCACCTAGCATTTGTTTGGTCACCTGTGGCAAGGAACATCCAGTTCTAGGTTGCCAGACACCTCCCCACTGATGCAGGGCTGGCGCCTCACACAGGGCTGCCATAGAACAACACTGTGTTTACACAGGAGTGACTTGGGATGACTGCATTTCAGAATTGTCATGGCACAATCCTCTGCATGTTTGCTTGGAGGTGTGTCCCGCTGTGGTCATTGGGCTTATTCCAGAAATGTGTATAGGATTACTGTCTCTTTTGACTAGCCTTAGAGCTACTTCCTCTTAAGAACAAGCTGTGTGTGCCCTGCCTTATAGCTGGCTCACTCCCCTTCCTAGTTCAAGGAATACCCTTCCACAGCCTATTGCCCTTCAGCTATGCTGATGTAGTCCAGAACATCTGGAGGGGGTATTAAGATGAACAAGGCTGTTGTAGCGATTGTCTTAAGTGGGCTCTACTCTTGTTGTTGGTCCTGGTCAGGCTCACAGATTGTAGCCGCAGCAGCAATTTCCTATTGGTGGAAAGGGTATGTGTGTGGTCATGTACATCTAATACAGGTGACTTGCATGGATACACAGGAAGGCAGTAGATTTAATGTGTGAATCTTACACTAAGTGGATACTGGACAAAATTGTCAGATTTCCATTAAGGCTAGTAATATCCACTAAGTGTGGAGGAGGGTTTGTGTGCTTTAAACCAACATATCTTTTATAAATGCCTACTGAATTATGGAGTAACATTCCTGAACCAAGCAGGAAAATAAATAGTTCAATTCACGAAATAATAGGAATGGGAAAATGCAAATAGACAAGAATACAATTGACCACAAGCACTAATTACAACTGCAGTAGTTGTCAGATGTATGCTTTCAGAAGCTCATTGTTTTTTAGCCATTGTATTCCCTCCGCTCCGCTCCCCTTTTCTGTATTTTTAGACATAATCCATTAATACCTTTAGTCATATTCTCTCCTATTCTTTTTACTACACAGGGAATATATATTTAACATTTTTAAAATGCATATTCCATACCAGCAGTAGAATGAGCCATTACTGCCATGCAGTTCTAGGCCTGAATTTTTCTCCCTCTGTTTTTGAGCAATAGCTGAAGAATTGACAATTCTTCACACTACAATAAGCACCAATTGCTTTGTGTGGTACCATTGCTTTAGTTAGACTCAGTTGGAATAAGCACTCAGTGCAGCAAGCCTGCAACTGTGAAGGCAATAGGTTGATGACTGAACATGATTTATACAGTCCTCTGGGTCATGTTATCTTCTAAGTGCATGTGACATTATGCCATTCCTAATGGTATCTAATGACCTTGCGCTCTGTACACTCTCTGCCTTGTAATCTGAATTCATTTGTCATTTTGTAGGCTTCTGAATTTACAGGAATGTCATTCACAACAAAAATAACACAAATATTGTGGATGCCTGGGAAGTTTCTGCTTTATAGTTAAACCAAACCCCCCCCCCACATTTTTTAAAGAGGAGGAGGATTTGATTTAATATTGACAAAGAGTAGTGGAGCTTGTAATCTTAAAGGTATGTGTCTGGGTGTAGAGAAAGCAAAATTCTCAAAGCAACCAGATGATTTTAAGGGGTGGTTTTTGTCCAAGTCTTAACACCTCTTCTGCCAACAAAAACAATACAGTACCTGGGAGAGAAACTGCCGTAGGGGTGGAGAGTGTGAACTGCCAACGTCAATGCAGTGCAGTGAACTTCTAGATTACACTGGTGTTGCTGAAAAGTTCCACCTGTGTTGCAGACAGGTATGTGGGAGCAAATATTTAAGACTGGAGTGCTAGTTCTGAAACCTCGTTACTATGAGCCCAAGCGTGACAAAGCCGCAGGTGACAGATTGCTGGATACTTAGGTACCAGCCGTATATAACCAGTGGAACTCCTTGGGACTTACTTCTGAGTAGATGCATACAGGGTTATACTGTTGATGTGCCTACTGCTAGCTGAGCAGTTTCCAGGCTGCAGTTCAGCTGCTTATTAAGAATGTCCTTATTTCTGAATCTTGAATGACCTACTTTCCAATATAACTTAAGCTGATTTTACAACCTGCTCCTAGATGGCGTTGGCTTATACCCAAATTCTTCTGTGTAGAGCTAAGAATGTCTGTATGGTATTCTGGTTGGCCACTAGGATAGCTGCCAGTGTAATCTAGAAGTAAACATTGTAAAGGGGGAGCGGGAGGGAGAGCAGGAAATCGCCACCCCTTCTCTTTTTCTCTTCATCTAGTCATTGCCACCACAGCTGTACATACCAAGTCCCAGCACCACTGCCCTTCATGGAAAAGGCCTGAATGCCAATAAAAGCAGACTCTGAAGTTGCAATTATGGACTGGCCAGGGTTAAGGGTGACTGGGAGTCCTTTGAAGGGTCAGGTCTATAGGCTTCTTTGGGCTGGATGTGACCCAGAGGCCATTAGCTGCTGACCTCTTAACTATAACATCAGTAGATAAAAGGCTTTATCTTGCATCTTATGAACTAAAGAAGAGCAGGACTGTACATCATGTTAGGGTACTTCATTCTTTCTATGGCCATTCCTTGTACTAATATTTGCATTTGCATTTCTGCTATTTATAAACAGATTCCTCGTATTTATATGCCAGAAATAGCTACAATTTGGCTGAGCTCCAGTGTCCCTAGAGCTAGAAAGCAGCATGGGGTTTTTTTCGATATTGAATGATAGACTACTCCCAGGGGACAGGAACCCCCAAAACTTCTACATCCATATTCCTAATACAGAAACTAAAGGAAGAGGTGTGGGCTTGTGCTGCTTATCTTACAGCTTCTGGCTATAAGGCTTCTCTGTGTTCTTGCAGGTGAGGGTTAGAATGGAGTTAATCATATGAGTGCCTCTCATGGGATGACTACATACCGTCTGAAAGCTGTGAGGTTGTAGCTTCCAACCTAATAGTCTTTAGTTTGCTTATTCCCCTGCTCCCTTTATAACACAGCCTAGAACCAATATGCCCTCTTGGATGCAATAAAGTACCCACTGAATATGCCTTAAATAATGCTAATTGTTTCCCCTGTTCTCCTCCCTTTTAATGAACTCTGTGCACAGTATCTGCAGGCCAAATGTACCCTTTGAACTTGAAAGAGAGGTAGTATAAAAAAGGAAACCACCTCCCTTCCGATATCTTGACAGAGCAGTTTCTAAATAATTACAGTCCTTGTGATGTCCAGAACAAGTTTAACAATGAAGCACATGGGTGACTTTGCTTATATTTCCTGATACCTTTTGGGACATTTGTAGTTTACAAAGTTACACTCCACTTAATTCTTTTCTTTCCATTTGCCTGGCATAATTCTTTTAGCGAGTTAGAGTTCTAAAGGAATTTTTCCTGCTGTCGGAGGTGTTCATAACCTCTAATTTGCTTGCCACGCCTTTTGCAAAGAACAGCAAGAGCTCAAGCAGATGGCAAGGAGCCACAGAACTGTCAAGCACTTTGTTGCAGAGGAATGTTGAGCATTGCCTCCTGTGTCTCACTGCATTTGATGGATATAAGACAAGAGTGAGCTGTTTTGCAAATAAGCCAAACACTCCATAGCCATCCGCTCAAGCAGCACTCTGAAAAGCTGGACTGCCAACAAGGCATAAAGACTTACCAAAATGGGAAAGGTAGTCTTTGTATGGGCAAATGAAAGGCGAGGAGATATTCTCTCACTCATTTGCAGGCGGTCTGGTAGATATGGAAACATTTAAGACCCAAACAGCAAGTTGCTGCTCTTCAGCTTGTTAATTACAACATTCAGTTCACTTTCCGTTTGTCTTGCAGTAGGGAATGACACCTTTAGATTTATTATTGCGTGGGCCCTGTGTTACTATTAAATAGCTTCCCTTTTTCAAAAATAATGAGTGCATGAAGCATGTGAATACCTTTCCCCCAAAACTTCAGAGAGGTGCATCACGTGTTCCTGACCTTATTTCTCAAAGGAATTTTAAACAGGGGAAAATAGGAGTACTAATTAGTGCCTCATTAAATACTTTTAGTCAAGTATGGTAATTTTCTTGAAAAGATAATGTAGTCGGTGAATAAAAGTATACTCCATTAAATAAGTGAATGCATACTCTCTTTTTTAGCCATCAAGGTTTATCTTATATTTGTATGTGAGAGAGAGTTAATGTTATTATAGAATAGCATACTTAATCTAAAGCAGCGCTCTGAAGCTGTTTCTGTTTTAGCTGATTTGACAGAAGGCAAACACATTCACTGTTTCTATTGCTAGTTTATAATGCTGGCCCTATGTTAGTTTTTCTGTCGTTCCTTTTCTCAGTACATGGTACACTTGGTATAACACCTCTTATGTATGTAGAAGTGCTTAGCTGCAACCAGTCCTATGATACTAATATATTAAGTAGAATTCTTGAAGACTATATGGTGCAATTAAAAAATAATAATAGTGGACCACATAATTGCATATGCACTCCACTATTTTCTGTTTCCAGATACTGGCAGAATCACAACTATAAATGTTTTGGGCAGTTTGGGACTTCCAGTTACCTAATTTTTATATTTGTATCCCACTCTTTCTCCAAATAGTTCATTTTTATCATGTATTTTTCTGCCCACTTTCCTCCAAGGAGCTCAAGGTGGCGTACAGGGTTCTCACCCTCCCCAGTTTATCCTCACAAGAATCCTGTGAGGTAGGTTAGCCTGAGAGGCAGTGAATGGCCCAAGGTCACCCAGTGAGCTTCATGGTTGAGTAGGGATTTGAACCCTGATCTTTGAGATGCTAGTCCAGCACTCTAACCATTACATCACACTGGCTCTAACACAGTTCAAAACTGCATATATTGGGTAATCATATTCCACAACAACCATGTGATACAGGTCTGGTTGGGAGAGTCTAAAGACTACCAAATTAACTTGCTGATCGTAATATTTTCAAACTTACTATTCAGCCCAGTATCTCTTATGCTGGCTCTGATGCATGAAACCCACAAACCACAATGAAACGGCGGCAATTTCTGTCCTGTGATCCCTAATAGTCTAAGCAGCAGGTAGGATAGCAACACAAGTGACACGGTCGAAGTTTGGGATATTTGCTCCCAATTTTTCACAACTTGGTACTATGGGGTATGCTGTTGCTATTCTGCGCTTTTCCAACTTCTTTGCTGAATCATAAAACAAGCAAACCCACACCACATTTGCTGCTTCACTGAAGCAAGAGAGAAGCATTATTTTTGAAGAAGACATACTGATTGTAAATTTGTACAGGCTGGAAGGGCAATTGGAAAGGTGTCAGTAGCAATAACTGATAAGAACTCAAACTGGCAATTTTTCCTCGATAAAAAATCTTTTGTTGCAAAAAGCACTGCTTAAACTGTTGAACAGTTGTGGTAACTGGAAAGGGCTGTGCTGTATAATAGAAACCGTTTAGTATTCTGATAAAGTCAGTTTGGGTCCAGCTCTTTGTTTTGTGAGGCCTTTTTAATTTCCTGCACTAAAATGCTCTCATGGTAACAGTGGACAGACCAGGTTCAGCCTTAAGTTCTGCAGAGTGCCCAGCAAAATATCCCTTATTCTTCTCTTCATTGATAAAGCTTCACAAAGAGGAATCTAGAACGAAGCAAACATGGGAGACTGTGCAAACTGCAGTCTTGTGGCTCAACGAAAAACGAATTCCCTATGAATTATATTGCATCTGTTGAGACAACAACTGGATTAAGCTTAAGGAAATTTCATGATTATTTGGTGAATGTATAAATAGCTGTGTGACAAACCAGAATGAAAAAAAAACATGACTTGAAATGAGATGGTTTGTGATCAGTGTGGTGAGGCATAATATCTAAAGTAGCAAATCATAGTTATGGCCATTGCTCTAGCCTCAGAGGCTGCTGCATAATGGAGATGGAAGTCAGTTTATGAAGTGGAATGCATAGAGGACAAAAAACTAAAACAGGCAAGCTCTAAACCATGGTTTGGGTTATAAATTTAGTTCTGGTATGATATCTGAATTAAGCTGCTGTCTTGGATGTCGTTTTTTCATAGGCATTTAGCAGGGGCCCTTTCATTGTCAGTGTAGCAAATATTTTGTCCATTGTTGGTTTCCTGAATGTTCTCTGGAAAAGGATGTTGAAGAATCTATCTCTCCCCCCTTCCTATGGATGTGTGCTATTTGACTTCAGGAATTTCAGATGATGGCAGAAACTGGAAGGATGCAAACAAAAGTGTTTACTCTAAACAGTGGTGGAGAATCTGTGGCCCTCATGCATTTTGTTACTCGGGTGCACTTACACAAATGGTATGTTGCATAGGCAGGTAATGCACACTTATTCTTAGATGTTGGAAATGGGATTGGTAAAGGACAATATTAAATGGGTGAATATTCTAGTTGGTCCTAATGGAAATGGTTGCTAAATATTTCTGCAGCTTACATTTCCCTTCTCACAAATGCTGTGCCCTGTAACTAATCTTAAGCCACACTTTCCCCCTCTGTTTCATTTAGACTTTCTCTCTTGCTGTTGGTGAGTGATAAGAGGGTAGGTAGGGAACCTAGCATGAGCTAAGCATGGGAGCTGCCTCCATAGTTGGAGGAGAACAAAACATCTATCAGAAAAGTCTCCTTAGGGCTGAGGTAGGGAACTTTTCTCAGCTTTCGAGTTGCATTCCTTTATGAGCCAGGACTGGGACAAGCTGAGCAGGGGCCCCGAGGAACTTCCAGGGTGAATCTCTCTTCTCCCCACATGTCCTTCCTATTAAAGGGGGGTGCGTCCCATTTAAGCGATTTCACTTACACGCGCAGGGACCTGGAACATAACCTCTGCATATGGAGTAGGCAATTTTGGGAAAGCAGTTCAGGAGCAAAAGGCCTGAAGATGGGTTGTACATTAGTTCATATTATTTTGGTTTGTTCTTTGGTGTATTTAGAAAATACACATACATTTCGTATTACATTGTCAGCTGTTCATCTCTCAGTGATTTTAAATGGTGCCTTCGTGTGATCCCAAGAAAAGGAAAGAAAATAATAGGAAATGGAGCATGGGTATCCAAAAATATTTCTGTCGTAGGGGGGAAATAGTGCTCTGTTTCTTACAAGAAAATAATATGAATGTGGAACCTTAATTAGGTTCGCTATAGGAATGACTTGTGAAGTGTGTACCAGGTGTTATCAGGGCATGGCCCAGGAAAAAGAGCCAACTTGTGTACATACTTCTTCAGCAGTCAGTAAATTTGTAATCAGTTCTGCATCTAATTTATGATGTTATTCCTCCATATAACCAACTAGTGAGAAGATAGAATGTGCATTTCCATGCTGATTTGTATTCTTATGATGTTAACAGGTCCAGAAGCAGTGTTTCCACCTTTTGTCACTTCCAGGTTCCTTGGCATTTTGGAGAAAATGCATCCCGACCCACATGTCTGGCCCATTTCTTCTTAAACTTTATCCCTTTTAGATTCTACTGGTAATAACGAAATGCTATCGAGTCTCTGTTGGTTCAGTAATGCTTTCCAAGGTGTATGTTTGCTTGTAACTTTTCATCAGAGGCTTGTAAATAGCAATGTTCTGGTTGCCTGTGGTAAATAATTGTCTAAAAGTTGACTAGGCAAGTAAGCTTTTTAAAAAAATTATTGGAGAGGCAGGCACAAATGTGGAAACGTGTAATCCTGCAGACTAGTGCAATTTTTTGTGGGATAGTAATGATAGTTGCCATATTTGTAAGTATATCTTACGTTCTTGTGTAGTTCTAGATAATGCCTGAACTAAAAGCACTGATAGAGGCTGGCTAAATTCATTTACATATCTCTTCATAATATGTTTGCCTTGTCAGCCATGTAGTTCTTAACAGAAAAATAATACTTTAAAAGACATATTCATCCTGGTGAATTTTGAAATTATTAACTGTAATAGGGGTGTTTTTTTTAGTCTATTTGTTGCTGTTTTCTCCAGTGTTTGAACTCAGATGCACTCCCTATCTTCTCATTGCTCACTTAGTACTCTGATAGAGCTAATTCCAGGATAACAATACCTTTTACAGACTTAAACTGTAGCTATTTTAATTCTAAAGTGCCACAAAGCCCTTTACTAGCTTTGGCTATGAGCCTGCTGGGAGTGATGTGAGATTCATTGGCATTTCAATTGAAGAAGGATTAAAGTGTTTCCTGCAGGATCTGGACCTTAACTGATTTAAAACTGGCAATGCAGTATGGTAGGCAAAACTCTGTGTTTGAGAGTGTGTGTATACCCTTGGAATATGAACCATGCAGAGTATTGATGTAGAGTTGATTGAAAGGAAAAATGGTGCGAACTACAAAGAACAGCTGGTAGAAATGAAAAGTTGGTAAATATGTTGTTCCATTTGGCAGGCAAGGTATCATTCCCTAAAGAATCCATAGCTTCAATCCAAAAAGCACATTTAGTTGTACACATGTGCACCAGGATTTGATCCTTGCTGTGACACAAAAGCCACAGCTAAGGCGTCCTTGAGCCTAGAGGCATTTGTTGGGTGGTTGCTTCACCCAACTCTGCTGATTTATTTATTTATTATTTGTAAAAACATTTCTATACTGCCATATTGCCAAGGCAGTGAACACTATAAACCACAATTTGAAACAACAACAGATAATAATAATTAAGGTGACTGGGTCATCAAACGTTAGCTGCAAAGGCTTTACAGCAGAGCTTTCCAAACTGTGTGTCACAACACTCTGGTGTGTCGGCTGCAGTGTGTAGGTGTATCGCGCAAACACTCCCTGTGCTCCTCCCGGGGTTGGAAAGGGGTTAGTTAACCTCTGGTTTGCTAGTAAAACTGAATTACTGTGTTGGAAAATGATGTATGTCTAAAAAGTGTGTCAACCAACATGAAAAGTTTGGAAAGCTCTTCTTTACAGTTTGACTTTCTGGATTGGAGCACATATGTATTGAGTATATGTGGATGTGTAAAGCATGTGCATTGACCTTCCAATTCTTGCTCTTCTTGTGAATAGTTGCTAGAATATGTTAATGTGATGTTAGCTATTTCACATGAACAGTCAACAGTGGCTTGATCCAATAGTTTCTCATGTTATGTTTGTGCATACTGTTGTATTCCATTATTGCCACATCTAAAATGTTGGTGAGAGTGTTTCAGATCCTTGTCAATTTTGTGATTTGGTTAACATCTGGCCTTAAATAAACAAGGCTAGTCTTTCATGAATTGCTTTATGGTATGAGGATTTGCCTGATAAGTTGTCTTGTGGTTCTTTCTGACTCATCTCTTTTGTCTGGGAAATGAAGTTTGGGAGTTGGCTGTTTCATCACTTTCAGATCAAGTATGAAAGAGTTATTCTCACCACCCCTTATTGGTGTAGAGCCATATGCATCCTATAGAGGTGGCAGCTAGCCTGGGGAAAAGAAGAATTCTTACCAGACAAGCTGAGTTGTTTTGTTTCCAGGGAGTAAAGAGGTGAATTATAACTTTCCAGCATTGCTTTTAATTGTCTCAACACTGTGGATACCGTGTTCAAAATGGACATATTTTCCTTCCAGCTTTCCTTGACTTGGGCACCAGAGTAGTGTAATGGTTAGAAAGTTGGACTAGTAGGACCTGACAAACTAGGGTACAAATCACCACTGAGTTCTGAAGCCCACTGGGTGACTTTGGATCATCGTCTCTCAGCCTAATCGGCTTCACAGGGCTGTTGTACGGGGAGTCACATAATTGCCATCCTGAGCTTCTTAAAGGAAAGGTGAGGTGCAAATGTTTTCATTAATGAACAGCTATCCATATAACAAGAGTCTGTAGCATCACAGTTTTGTTTTTTTTTAAATTAGTGATTGATTATTTTAAATGAATGAAAAATATATCATGAGCAAAAACATAGCATGTCTAAACTATATATTTTCTTAACTGAATGTCAGGCACAAAATTGCAGCTAAAGGCAAGTTGCATGTATGCAGCACACCATTTTTATTCAGAAATTCTTTATCTGGCATGGCAAAGTTGTGATATGTGAAAGTTTTGATAGTGATTTTAAAAACTTGTATGAGTTGAAATGCAGAATGATGTGGAACTTCTTTTCTACTCTCTAATTCTTTTAATACATTTATCACCACAGTTTAAAACCTTCATTATTTTGACAGTGAACCTAGAGAACTTTTTAAGATCAATGGGGTCGGTGAGGTTTTACCTGCCTGGGCCGGTCAAGTCCCGCGGAGATGTCTTCGTGGGCCAGATCAGGGGTGGCTCGTGGACCAGTTAAACTGCTCCTGTGGGCCACAGGTTGCTGACCCCTGGGATAGCTGGAAATGAAATACCTTGGGTGTCTAGTGCTGTGGGTTGGATCCAGCCCAGCACATGGAGAAATCTACAGGACTTCCACTTCCTCTACTCTCCCCATGCAACCTCTGTCTGCTCTCAAGGGTGCACAGGGGGTAGGGGGCTGCATCAAAGAGAGAAGAAAAGTGTGTGTGTGTGTGTGTGTGTGTGTGTGTGTGTAAACTCTATATATTGTCCACTCTAAATTGTGCTAACATTTTCCATTTTCAGTGAATCTCTTGCTGTGATCCTTATCTCAACATGTCTTTGCATAGTGAAATACTGAACTGAATGTTTCTCAGCTCGACGGTAGAAACAGTTCTTTATTCCTCTTGGGTGCCAGTTGCTCAATTTGCAACTGGGTGGTGGACCGAAATAACTGCATAAGGGATTCTTTTGTGGTTAGCTCTGAAATTAAGTGGTCTTGACTAATTGTGAAAAATTAGAAATTCCTGAATATGAAACAATTGTAATTGGAGTTAGAGACACGCCTGCTTTTGCTTATAGCTTTCAGTTGCAACTTAGAATATTACAGGGCAACTATCACTAGATTACAGAAGGGGGCTTACTGTCTGCTGACACTTTATTTTGTTGCTTCTGAAATTATTGCAGGGTTCTGTTGTGGATTCTTATTCCAGTCTCATTGCAGTGTTGGAATTTATCATTATGAAACGTTTTGATGGGCCTTTTGAAATGTTCATTTTATGTTTGTTTATATTTTGCTGATTATGCTTTGAACAGAGTCATTAATGAATTGGGTAGTGCATAGGCACTAGGCAGGCAGGCTAGAAATCACTAAATATATAAATGTATTGGAATGTTATATGTATGCCTTGTATGTATTGTGGTGGTTCTCCACAGGTAGCCAACACAGCCCCCCTCCCCCCGATGTTTTAAGATTACAACTCCCCATCAGCCCCAGCCAGCACAGCCATGGGTAAGAGATTATGGGAGTTGTAGACCAAAAGCTACGCAGGGCACCATGTTGATTTCCCCCTCTTGTGCACTGTTATTGTGAGCTGTTCTAAGGCACCATTTAACATGGAAATGGAGAGTATAAGTAAACTGATGATGTTAAAATTGGCAACTAAGGCTGCAATCCCACCTATATTTACTAGATAGCGATCAATCAGTACTGTGGGACTTAAGTCCAAGTAAACATGCACCGGCTTGCACTAAAAGTCTGGAGTACTGAATGCCTAAAGCTATCCAGTAAATTCATGACTGTTGAGATATAACCCAGGGCATGTAGCTTGTACTTCATGCCATTATGAACTACTACATCTGTGTTGGGGAATATATGGCTCTCCAGAGCTACCAGGACTCCAACTCCCATCAGCTTCAGCCAGCATGGGCAGTGATCAGGGATGATGGAAGTTGTAGTCCAATAGCATCTGGAGGGCCACAGATTTCCAGCCCCTGTGCTACACTAAATCAGAACTGTCAGAGTGATGGATACCTCCTTTTCATCTTTTTTTTAAAAAAGGTTGTAGCTCAATGATTGAGATAATTAAGATAAATTATTAATTAGGCTCCAGGACTCAGGAATGAAAAAGAAAATTGAAAGAAACTTGTTCATACTGGGATAGTAATCTTTAATTGCCCATGTGTCATAATTGTGAAAGTATGGGATTTGTGCCACTTCCTTTCTCTCATAATACCACTCTGGAAGATTTGGATTGTGTGTGAGGGAACTAGCTGTATTGTGTATGCACTGCAGACTAGTAAAGTGCTATATAAGGCTTGCATCCTTTGCTTATATACAGGACTGATTAGTTGTTGTTTTTTAAGTACATACATTTTATGAGTGTACATTTTTTAGCAGTGGACGTTTCAGTTGTCATATGGTAATTGCAAACAACAACCTCTAAGAAAGCAGATCTCAAAGGATGTGGCGTGCCATACTGGTGTGGCAGGAGAGGATGACAAGAGTAACAGGAAGATTCAAGGACAATCAGTACTATATTTTTGGAATGATTCATGCCCCTATGTAGCTGCGTTGTTGTATACATTCCAGATGTCCCATGTTCATATTATAAAGTAGTTGTGTTCTGTGTTATAAATCAAGCACTTCTAGGAGTTGTTTCTTTTTGCTTTCCAATGTATTTCTTATTGATAGAAAATTTGATGCGGCGCAAGCCCAGAGAAATTTTTTTGAGAACCACTACTCTGTCAATTGTAATGTTCATTTAATGTATATTTGCTTGCTTAGTGCATAAATTAATGGTAATCTTTCAGCTGTAAATTTGCAGGTGTCATTGATTTGTACTAAATTCCTACCCCTGCTTTTTTTCTTTCCCATGGATCACTTGTTGCTTCTAGGTATCTTATTTTTGTGTGCTGTTGCCGTTAAAAGGGGGGGACATTTTACTTGAGGGGGAAAAAGAAGTCTACTTTTTATTTCAAATAAGAAGCACTTCCATATGTACACTTGTGTTTAAAATTACAATGAAACTAGAAGCAGAAAACATAATATTTCCCACATTGGACTTTGTAGATCCATTATCAGCACATTCAAACTTGTAGCCTGATGTCCCATTTGTCCTCTTCGAAAAGAGGTTTTCTGAGGAATAAGACCAGCAGCTATTGCCCCGGTGGAAGGAAGATAAATGAGTTGGGATTAGGGAGCTGCTGCCAGTGGTAGACTTCTGCCAAGTCATTAATTTCTCAGAGCTGCTCTATGCCTGCTTCAGTAAGGTGAGCACAGTTTTACTCAGAATAGGGAAAAATCAAAGGAAAATCCAAATTTAGGCACGGTGCAAGATTACGTAAAATGCACTATTATGACTAGTACAATTTTCATTCTCTCTCCCCCTTGTTGTTAGTTACCTCTTTAATTAGCTTCTTAGAGGGAAAATGTGTCTATTTCTCCTCTCTTAGAGTGAATTGCTGGCCATACTAATTCTAGTACTCTGATTCCAGCTCCTGCTGTTTCCTGCTTTCATTCTCACTGAAGTTCCGTAACAACTGGGGAGTATATCATTTTTGCCCATTTGGAATCATATCTCTTCCTATAGTAAGCCGTGGGAGTTGGGCTGTTTGATAGACCACATACTTTAGTGCTACATCATCTTCAATTTGAGTGAAATGGTTACACCCAAGTCTAAATCTGAGGAGTCCACATTGGGAGAAACATCAGTTTGTGCAAGCTTATTTTGTATTTGTTTAATTTGTGGTGTTATCCTAGTAGCATTCCAAATAAGAAGCCCTGTAGGTGGGGAGGGTTTTTTGAGGTGTACAGTGGTGCCTCGCAAGACAAAATTAATTCGTTCTGCAAGTCTTTTCGTCTTGCGGTTTTTTTCGTCTTGCGAAGCACGGTGTCGGAAAAGTTTTGGAAAAGCTTCAAAAATCACCAAAGTCTTCAAAAACCTCAAAAAAGGCTACCACACCGCATGCTATGAGTTGCTCCTCGAAGTCAAGTCGCAACTGTATTAACGGTTTTAAGAAAAGGAAACAAACTTGCAAGACGTTTCCGTCTTGCGAAGCAAGCCCATAGGGAAAATCGTCTTGCGAAGCAACTCAAAAAACGAAAAACCCTTTCGTTTTGCGAGTTTTCTGTCTTGCGAGGCATTCGTCTTGCGAGGTACCACTGTACTTCTTACAACCAGGCATAAGTTGTCTGAACAGTCAATGGCAGTTCTTGCATATGCAGAAACCACAAACAGCTGTACTTTCCACCTTAGAAAATGACTTCCTGAGCTTGAAGGAAGTGCCTGATGCAAATGAGAGAAGCGAAAGAATCGGAGAAGAGTCCCACTGTAGTATGCAAAGTGCTGCTGTCCTTGTGGGGATAGATTTGGCAGACTTAGTAAACCTAATGAAGTTCTAATGAAATTGTATTTTATCGCTGTAGCGGAGAAGAGGCAACGGGGGCATATGCACTTTTATTCCAGATATTCCAAGAGCTCTGCATACTGCTGTATTACTGTCCCCCCCCAAAAAAGTATTAAGCAAGTAGCATATACAGTACATCACACTGGACAGGACAAATTATACTAGTGGGTTATTTTGGGCGGGGGGAGTGGGGTTCAGGAAGAGATGAAGTGAAACTCCCTGATAGCCTGTTTCTGTTAACCTTGCTATCAGTGTTCAAAATTCACCAGGTGCATTTTGCTACTGGCGCAGGTCCTATTGCAACTCCGATTGTCAAGATTTCTGGATGCCATGCTGGTGACCACAGTTCAAAAAAAATCCCTGCCTTAGTCCATAGTCAGTACCATTTCTACTTTGTGTGTTTCCCCTTCTTGCATACTGAGACAAGTGAATTGTTGTAAGATCAAGCTACAATCAAACAATGTAGTTGAGATCATAGAATCATAGAATTGTGTTGTTGGAAGCAGTGCTATTTTTCTAGAAAAAGAGGTGCTGGAACTCACTGTAAGTCCCTCCCTCATTCTCTTAGAGGTGCCAGAACTGATTCCTGTGTGTTAGCCCTGGAAAAAACCCTGGTTGGAAGGGTTAAGGCCCTGAGTAGCATCTATTCCAACCCCCTGGCGAATAGGCAACTGCAACTCAGTTTTAAGATAAGCTATATAAGCTTATATAGCTTATATATCTTGCCATTGCATGTGGGCAGGCAAACAAAATAAAATATTATGGGTTATAGCAGGCTTCCTCAACCTCGGCCCTCCAGATGTTTTTGACCTACAACTCCCATGATCCCTAGCTAGCAGGACCAGTGGTCAGGGCTGACGGGAATTGTAGTCTCAAAACATCTGGAGGGCTGGAGGGTTGAGGAAGCCTGGGTTATAGTAACTTTGGCTAACTGACAATACCAAGTCAGCCAAAGTTACTAGCCTGTAACATTTTATTTTGTGTTCCCTCCCTCATATGGGAAGGCAAGGGGATGTGGAGCCATATTTCATAAACATTCTTTACCTAATCACTGGGAAGAAATTCATACTTGCAACAAGAGACTCGGAGGATGCCTATTTACAAGTCTTATCTGATGGTCTTAACATTTTTTTACTTTTGTTTTTAGTAATCTTTCTTTATATCTTGTACAAAATTTAGAAAGAGAATAGATCCAAGTGTCCCGAATTTCTCTAATATAAATAATGCAGCAACCATGTAACACTAAGTTAATGGAATATGAGTGTGTGTATGTCAGTAGGCATTATACATGCATATTGATTGAGGAAATTTCAAATTTACAGCAGATCTTCACCAAGTAGGAAGAGTGACTCAGTTGCTTTTTACTGCAGTTTACCATCATTACTAACCCAGTAGGCTCAGTCAACAGTCTTTCAAATGAAGACCAGAAAAATCAGTGGGAAAAATTAAAAAGGCTAAAGGCTATTAATGCCAGATGGCCCATGTTTTCTTTCCAGTGGGAAAGCCCTTGATATTTTCCAGGGTTTATTTTTTAAAAAAATCATTGGGGTTTGGGTCATTCTGTATGTAAGGCTTTGAGTCCAAGGGCTCACACATGGAATGATTTCATTGGGTGCACATTGTGAAACCAAAATGGGTAATTCATCAAGGCTGCTAGAAAACAATCCCCTAAACTGGATCTGCTTAGGAATCTATGCTCTGTTTACAAGATCAACAAGGCCTGCCTTTCCCTAGTCTGGAATGAACATCACAGTGCTAAAATTTTGAAGTGGGTGAAGTTTAAGAGAGCATAGTTTTCCCGTCTTCATTTGGGAAGCACAATGTGACAGACTGAGATTCTCTACTTTAAAGCATCCAAGTCTAAACAATGTTTGGTGGGATACAGTACTAGTTACTTCATCTGTGGAAGTGTGCATGTAAAGAGGTGCGGCCTGAATGCTTCTAAGTCAAGGTCAACATCTGGAGTCGGTTATGGTATTTACTAGGTAATAATAAACTACTAAGCTGGCTGTTCCTGTAAATGTTCTTCTAGTATAAAAGTTGGCGATTTTGCAACGTAGTAAAGCTACCTTGTTGTTAACTTGTACTGTTTTAAATTGTGTGTGTGTGTGTGGTGATTTAAAGGTATACCCAGAATCAGATATTTCTATCTGAGATGTTTATATTTCACCCTTCATCCATTCAGGGAAGTATACATGTGTTTTCCCTATTTTATCTTTTATCCTCACAGGAAAGCTGTGAGGTAAATTGGACTGGAAGAGAGAAGGAGGTGGGGGAGAGAGAGAGAGAGAGACACCAGTGGCATAACATTGGTGGGGCCACGGGGCGGTTGCCCTGGGTGCAAAATTCTTAGGGGCACACCCCTCACACAGAAAATCTCCCAGTGTTTTCGTGGGCAGACTAAGGAGCGGATTTGGGCGATGGCCGGTTGCCAGAGTGCCTTGCATGGGTTTTAGAAAGATACTCGCTCCTGACCAATCCCCTGTCCCACTCTCCGCCGTGCTCAATGCTCACAGGACACCACAACTGCCACTCGGGTAGGTTGCCAAGCTATTGCTCATTTGTTCCAGCCTATCAGCCCCAGTGCTGGCAAACCACACTACGCCAGTGATAGAGACTGACCTAAGATCACCCAGTGAGCTTCATGGCTGAGCAAGGATTTGCAACTGGCACTCCACAATCCAGCTCTGGCACTCCATCTACACTGGCTCGGAATCTCTGCTTGAAATTCTTTTTTGGACACGTGACTAAGCTGTTCCTTGCTCCTGTACTTCATGGCACCCAACATACGAATGCAAGAGCCTGCTAGTACCTTCGTTGTTATATTAACAAATAGTGTGCAGTTCAGTCTTAGTCTCTGCCACACAGCGTTTGAAACTCTTAAGGGTGTCCTCTTGGTACTTTTAGCTACTGCCTCCTCTGTGTTTGGACCAGCAACGTATAAATCGCTATGTATTTATTTTGCTCTTTTCTTGAAAATAGCCAGCTAGTGCTGAGAGGCACTTGTGCCTAGGAGCGGGCAGGGGACTATCACAATAGGATTGTGTCCGTAAGTATAAACAATACCAGAAAGGTAGAACCATCTTATTGCTAATCCACAATGCCATATATGAATGAGGATTTGTGCATTTCCTAATTTAGTGTCTGCAGCAGTGGGTAAAACAGCATCAATTTTTAGCGACACTGCGGAACATTTTGCCAAAATACCCTAGTGTAGACAAGGCCACACATATTTGCAACATGTACTGTTCACAGAAGGCAGATTGATGTTAATTAGAAGTGGGTGGCATGTGAGTATAAAAATAAAATTCCTTTCTACAGTGTTTTACTCTTAAAAATAGAGTGCATGATGTGGTGATTAGTATATGTATGTGTGGAGAAGCGTGTGTGCCTTTTAATTTTTGTGATGGCATCAGGAATTTGCATTTAGTTGTTTAATAATATAAAGTAGCACAAAAACTAATTGGAACATATTGCAGGTTTCTGCTTCTTTGGAACATATTAGCTCTCAGATTGCTTCTGGCCCCAATTTATAGTTGGCATACCACTTTATAGGTATAAGTTAACCTAAAAACTCTGAACAGCTTGGGATCAGGTTTCCTGAAATATCATCTTCATGCCTACTTGAACCTTAAGATCCTCTTTTAAGGCCCTGCTCCATGTGCCTTCACCCAGTGGTGAGGAGAGAGACTACCACTGAGAGGGCCTTTCTGGTGGTGGCACTCTAGCTGTGGAATAACGTCCCCCGGCAGGCTTACTTAACACTTTTCTTGGCCTTTTTCAGCAGTATAGAATCATAGAATTGGACAGGACCCCAAGGATCATCTATTTCAACCCCCTGCAATTCAGGAATCTCAACAAAAGCATCCATGACAGATGAGCATCCAACCTCTGCTTAAAGTAGAGACCTTTTTTAATTCACCCAGTTCCCAGTTTTTAAAACTGTGTTCAAATTTATCTTAGACTGTTGTGACCTAGTGTTGATTCATTCAGACTGTACACTGTGTATGTTGTCTTTGTCGCAAGAAAATTCATTTTTTTTTCCTGTCTATTATTTGTTGATGATTATATCAGAAATGGGGAATCTGTGGCCCTACAGAACTTTCTGGACTACAACTTCCATCATCCCTGGCAGACGTTCTGATTGGGATTGATGGAAGCTGTTGTCCAACAGTATCTGGAGGCCACAGATTCCCCATGTCAATTATAATGATTATATATTGTATTTAAAATATTGTCTTATTAGCTGTCCAGGGAACTTTTTTTTGTTTATTTACATAAATAGCTATATAAATAATAAAGTATGAGCCAGATTCAACTAACCTAGTGCACTATCAGAAGCCATCACAAGGACTCACACTAGCTGAATGGTTATCACAAGGATTCCCTCCCTCTCCATTACTTGCGCCTCCCCCAGATCTGCTCTGCAAGGTCAGGAGAACCCCTAGAATAGTGTGTGGGTGGAGGAGGAAGGAGATGGTTTCCTCTGGCAAGCAGAAATGCTTGCGCTGACAGAACAATCGTAATAGTGCAATATTGAATTCCACCCTTAGTATACTTTGGCTAAGAGAGAGAATTCATGAGATTCCAATAGGTGTCAAGAAAGCTGTTTTGGCTGCAACCTGTATACCTAACTTGGAGTAGGTCCAATTCAGTAGTGGGACTTACTTTTGAGTAGACATAAAGAGGATTGCGCTGTCAGAGTCTTTGCTTTTAAAAGTTATTGTAGGTCTACTATTACAAGAAATGAGAGCCTGTTTTGCAAATTCTAGCTAACAGGTAAAATTAGCTAATGAGAGAGATTAAGTGTAGCTGAATTTCATTTTTACTGTTTCTGGAAAATAAGATGCAGTTTAAATCTGTGATCCTTAATCTACTGAGTTAAGGACAAAAATGAACAAGCTGGTGCTTTTACAGTTGAAACAAATGCTATTCCTTATGACAAGGATCTTCATGTCCAGTATTCCCTCTGCTATTCTTTGGGAGTTATGGTGGAAACAGATGTAATTGATCCGTAGTTGCTGGTGCAGTATGGCACAATGGATTGGCTCTGCTGGTGTGTCCCTTTTGCTATGACTTTGCCATCACCCTGCCCCAACCCAGATAAGCTTCAGTGACTGCAGAGCAGTTCCACCCCACCACACAAGCTGCTACTGTAATTGATATTTTGGCAAATTAATGCAACTGCTTTATCAACATACAGTAATTAATGTTTTTAATGGCTAATGTTCAAAATCAGACCTGATTAAAGTATCTGTTAGTAACTGGTGCATATTATTTAAAATGTAATTTTAAAATTATTTATATATATAAAGTCTTTATTTAGAAAATTTCTGGATGGCTTAACGTTAGGAAAAAACCTAAGCTGCGTACAACATACCACCTCCTCGAAATGGTACAAAATTGTAACACATCATAAAAACATAACTAATAAAAAACAGTGACCGAAGTGCAAAGATATGGAACTAAAAAAATCAAACCTTAGGTATTGGGAAAGTCTTAGGCAAAAAAAATACATTTTCAGGAGGCATAACTGATGGCAACTTGCTAATTGAGTGGAAGAGGGATCCAGACAACAAGGGCAATCATAGAAAATGCTTTCTTGCCTTACAACAAACTAGGGTACAGCACCACCAGGAGTGTTTCTTCTATGACCCAAGCAGTTGAGCAGCCTTCCAAGTAAGGTAGTGCCAAGATTATATATGTCACTGACAAAACTTTGAACATGGTAGCTGAACAGCAGCCAGTGCACTTCCTCAGCACAGACGTAATACTGCATGTGCTCATCCAGGTGTTACACTCAATGAACTGGCTTCAGTGTTCTGCACCTGGCTGCAGCTTTTGAATATTCACAGTGCTTTGCATACATTATCTTATTGCAATTCTACAACTGACATAAACAATTATTTCCCCAAGGGGCTGAGGTTTAGAGAGAGAGGAGCTGCCATTCACGCATCTTGGTAAGCCACAAACCATGGTTTACTGTGCACATGCCAATCATCCCCGCTTTACTACTTTCTGCTAGTTCAGAGGAGAAACCAACCATGATCCCAGACATAGCATTTTGTCCATTTCATCCAGAACAGGAATCATAGTTTGTTTCAGTCCAAATCCTTTAAAAATACTAATATACTTCACCATATTATCTGCAGATGCAATCCACCAGCAACAATTGGTGTGTGTGTGTGTGTGTGTGTGTGTGTGTGTGTGTGTGTGTGTGTGTAAGGGATGATCTCTCCTAGAGAAATCCAGAAATAGTATAAACTATATTTTTATTTTAGAATTATGGGAGATGACTTGGGCCAGCAACAAGGTATGTCTAGAATTTTTGAAGTGGCTTGTTTGTAGTGTTTACAGTAATTTAATCAAAAGTCTCTTCATTGAAGATGCAGTTGAACTTTCCTTTGCTTTTATTTGGAGCTAACAATTGCAGGAAAACCTTTCCACTTGTACTGTGTTGGAAAAACTATGCCCTTGAATTATTTACTTGTTTACAATAAGCAAAGCCTGTTGAAGAAGAGCTAGTAAAGTTTCAATATGAAACTGGGTAAAAAAGTGCAATTATACAGACTACTGCATAGAGGCGATATCTGCATTCAGACATAATGCTAAGTTTTAACCACAGTGTGTTTCAACAAGGCAGGAACAAGTTCACAGAGGCCATAGCAAACTGTGGGTCATTTTGCCTGATGTTAGCGTGTCATCTCCCTACCACATCTGTAAACGCCTAGTGAAAACTTCCTAACTCCTCCCTGTGGCCACACTAAGGGGATGTGTGTTGGGCTCACACAGGCTCATTCTTGTAACTAAACCAGGGTTTGTGTCTGAATGATGTTAGTGGCTGGAAAAGCAAAAAATACAGTTGGAGGCTTCTATTTCCTAGGAGGCAGCATGGAGCAATATAGTTCTGTCTTGCTTTCCAGTCATAGGTTTTTACTGCTACTGTACCATTGCAACTAAAACAGATCCATAGGTTCAAGGTGTAAATAGCTAAACCATGCTAAAAGGACACAAGAAACAGAGGGTGTGTCTTTCTAAATCATAGAATTGTAGAACTGTAGAGTTGGAAGCAACCCCCCCCCCGAGGGTCATCTAGTCAAACTCCATGCATTGCAGGAATCTCAACACGTGAGTTCCCATCCAATTTGAAACCATACCGGACTGTGCTTAGCTTTGCAAAGGTGCTAGCAGTTTTAAATGTGATTTTCATTTTTATATTGGTCGTTGTACCACTTACCTTGCAAAATGCAAACAGACGGGTGAGTTGAGCAACAGAGGAGACACATTTGCAAGGCTAATTTATAAGCTGTCAGAGTATAGGAAAGACATTGTTAAAGCACACATTTTGCTTGGCCTGTAAATCATCCTGTTTCATCTCATTTGTCCTGTTTTATCTATAGTGTACTTAAAAAGACTCTCTAGTGTATACCTTTACATTCTTTCTCATGACAGTATTTCCTTACCCAGAATTGTCAACATACTGTAGTCAATTTATTGACACTTGCGTTTTGTGACCAATGTTCTTAATGAAAATTCTAACATCCTTGTGAAGCTGTTCTAGTTTTCTTCAGTACAGCTTGTTGCCTTCCCTAAGCGCTTAGGAGCATCTGTCATGGTCCGTCCTTATTCACGACATCTGATTCCTTCTCATAATGAAGCCGAGTTCTGCCTAGGAGTTGGCACCAATAGCTTAGTTTCAGGCTTGTATTGAGGGTACAGGATTTAGTTAAGTTATCCAGGCTTAATTACTTTGAATCAAGATTTGAACACACTGGCCCTGGCTTTAAATTAAAACCGCAATTTCCTTCTCATAAAATCAGCTGCTGTCACAAGCACTTAATTCATTTTATTTTTAATTGGGTGAAATTTTACATCTGATACTTCTCGTCAGTTTGTCAACATTTGGTAACTATGCATCTATAACTATTTCATTTGCAACGAAGAGGCTTGTGGTGCCTTAAAGACCAACACATTTCTGATGACATGTACTACAGCCTCTACTTCATTGTATGAATGAAGCATCATCTTGAGTTGCAGGTGTACATACATGGTTGGGTGGGAGGATTGTAAAAAGTGAAGTCAGATGAAAATGAAGTTGGAGGGGGAAATGAAATGCATAGAAGTACAGGCAGCGAAAAGTTACATTCTTAACAGTGGTAATTCATGAAACAGTTTTTGTTACGCGCATAAGCAGAGCCCTGCTGGATCAAGCCGAAGTCACATCTAGCTCAACATCCTGTTCCCACAGTGGCCGCTAGTGTGAAGCCTAGTATAGCATGTAGTCATCCTTCCTAGAAGCCATTGATAACCTCATCCTCCATGAAATACAAATATCCATGTTGACAGTGACATCCTGGCATCCTTGCCTAGTGTAGCCCCCAAGTCCATTCCCCTCAGGCATTCCTTTTTCCTCACAGGGCACCCAAATGAGCCTGTGTCTTGGGTCTCATCAGCTTACTCTTGCCCTGTATTCCTCACCTTCAGTATCCTTACAGACTTTTGCCAGGCTTCCACTAATGAGTTTCTCCACTTCAGAATCCTAGCAGCCAAAAACAAGCGTGTTTTTCTCTCTGTGTCATAAAGTGAGCTGCACTAGCTTAACGTATTAAAATCCGGCACCAAATTTACTAGTTTGGTCCTAATAGTTGGAATATGATGTTTCTTGCATAGCTATGATCAGTACAGATGCTTTTAACTCTAATGGAAATAGCCAGAAGCTAAGGTTTTCATGGCCAAATTTATGCAGTTTGCTCCATTGATGTACATGCAGGAGTATAGCACATAGATCAAATTGGTCTATAACACAGCTCTTAAAAATCTGACTACATTGCAGGCCCTCCAACTATGGGGCATACACTAAATAAACCTTAGTTGACTTCAACCCACTTTTCCTTATTACTTGGCATGCTTTGTGTCTGAAAGTGGCTCTGGTGCTCAGCTATAATAAATTTGGCCTGATACTATACCATGAGACATAGTTCCAACTAATCTCCTTTATCTTTACAGGCGGGGAATTCTCAAGAATTGTTGCTGATATAGGGGTGGTTTAGGTGACATAATGAAGCCATAGTTATTTGAGTGCTTTGGGTACATGGCCCAATTTTTAAATCCTAAACACATTGAAGCAAGGACCAATTCAAACTGACTAGTGACAGAATGGACAAGCAGTGATGCTGCTGTCCTGTACGTTCGTACTTTATTAATACCACTGTGTAAAGCTATGATCCCAAGCCCTCACTGACATAAGAGACACCTAAACCTGTTGAGGAAGGGCTTATAACATAATTGATGCGGACAGATAAAACAGTCTGTTCTGAGTTTGGTATGCATTTTATTCACTTTTTTCCAATCATGAATAACCCATGAAATACCCTGAACAGGTATTGGTTATATGAAAAGTATGATTCTATGAAATCTATTTATATATTCATTTTTAAAGCCATTTCCCCCCCTTTGCAGCACCAGCTCTGCTCCCTCGCAGATACTTAATTTATCTCACTTGTCTCAGAAATACTTGGCACCCTCAAAAACGTAAAAGCTAATTCTTGGCCTGAATACTTCATTAGCAACATGAAAATCACCTTTTTTGTTCAAAGCCTAAGATAAAGTGGTTTCTGAATGAATCCTGCTTCTCATTAATTTGAGCCTTAGGAAGCAGAATAAAGACGTGCAAATAAGAGCTCTTTCAAATAACTCATAATTACATGTGCACAAAAACGCATTGACTAACTTTGAACATGCTTTATAGCTCACATGGGGTGCTCCTTCTTCAAGAATGGAACTGGAGATAAGTTCACCTTTAGTGACAGTTGAAATATTCTGGGACTGGTTCTTCTTAAATAGTTGCAAATCAGCAACACTGTAAGGATTTTGAAAGAAGAGAGAAATATATGGACAGAAATATATAGAAAGCTCCTAGATAGTTCAGTGTGGTTGATGGTTAGCATTCATTCCTGCGAGGGTCACCTTACAAGCATATCATAGGATAGAGTTAAAGCTGACTTTCATATTCCAGTTGCACATAAGTGATGCAGTTTGTACATATATCATTTTTATGAACATTGTGAATGCTGAATGATTCTGCTTGCGAGCAGAAAGGAATTGGACTTAAAGATTTACTTCAATTTGGTATTGAAACGGGAAGGTCTAAACAGGAAGTCAGCCTTCCGTTTCTTTGTAGACAGAATAAAGCAAAGACAACGTAAACTAGAGCTTAGAAAATCGCTTCTAAAGGATTGGCTTTCATCATTTAAAATTGTCGAACCCCCCTTCGGCAGCAGGAGAAGAAGGGGGATTTTTTGGGGGGCTGTTTAAACCTGCAGAAGTGAGTTTAAAGTAAAGTAACTTTCCACCGTCCTGATCCTGGAGCGGGGTGTCAGGACTGACGTTTGAAGCTCATTGACCAGAGACAAACGTTTTTGACAGATAGTTAAAAGAAGAGAAACATAGTGATTCCACTGTTTCCTTTCGACCTTAAAGGAACAAATATTGACCAAATATCTCAAAAAGGATACTTTGTTGCAAGAACAAATAGAAGTTCTCCCCCTAGAGGGAGACTGTGAAATTGTAACTAATTCTAGGGAGCTTGCAGCTGTCACAGATTACAATCGTGGGAATGGACTTGTGACCTTGTAGGACAATGTATTCAGAGGCTCTGTTGTGTGCTCTCTGTAAAATAAGTGCCCTACTGGAACAGTTAAGTGAGAAGACGGATTTGATGACTAATGCGGTCAGAATTTTTGAACAGGCAGTGGGAAACTATGTGGAGCCCACCCAGGAATCAGATCAGGAGTGCGTCCTGACAGAGCAGATGAGAGAAGAGGATGTTGCTGAATCTTGGGCGCCAGAGATGGAGGGAGCTGCGGCCTTGCAGGAACATGAGCTTTTGGATTTGACAAATGAACTTGGAAAAAGCCAGATTTGGAAAGATAAAGTTTGGATTGGTTTGGAAATGGGGGGTTGGATAGACCCCCCTATGCAGGGATGTTTGGACTTTCCAAGTCTGGCAATGGGCAGTGAGATGTTTGGAGCTGTGGGGGCTATCAATTTTGGAGGGATTCTGAAACATGTTTTTAAATACCACATGGAATTGAGTCTGGACTATGGAAAAGGGGCTGATTTGTTGAAAAGGGTCAAAAACATCACCAAGCTGGAGTTCCCACGAGTGAAAGGAGAATATGAAGAAGAGCTGCGGAAGGGACATGGAAGTGACTTAAGGGCCTCGGATATAAGGTTACCAGGTTAATGCGCTAGATCGATGGGAAAAAGGACTGACAAAACCCGGGACCAGGAGGAAGGGACGCTGGATGAAGATTGGATTGTTTTTATTTCTTTTTTTCTTATTACCAGGATTGTTTTATAAAATGGATGAATGTTAGAAAAATGTTGGAACAAAATTACTTGGCTCTAGTAAAAATGTTTAAAGAATTAGGTAAGAATATTATGGTTGTGAGAAGTCGGTAAAAATAAGATTTAAGTTTAAGTTTTAAGGTTTTTTATAAGATAAGATGAAAATAGATTAAGGTAATGTAAAGACAGAATATTATGAAATATGGAAAGGATTTGCTGCGATAATTATTAACTAGGATACAAAAAAAAGGGAGGAGGAGGAGGTCAAAGAAAGAAGGTAATGAGAGTTGAGGATTTGAGAATGATGGATTTACTTTTGTCTGTTTGCGGTGTATTTTTGTTTTTTGAATTTGTATTGTTGGGTGTGGTTTGTTTTTTCTTTGTTTTTTCTTTTTTCTTTTTCTGCTTTGTTTTTTCTCTGTAATTCAAAAAATTTTCAATAAATATCTTTTTTTTTTTTTAAAGGAATGCATTCATTCCCCCCTCCCCCCAATATAGTCTGGCTCACCGCATGGTCTGAGGGACGGTGGACCGGCCCACAGCTGAAAAAGATTGCTGACCCCTGTACTATAGTTACAAAATCATCTCCCTGCAAGGGCAGGGAGCTACTCCTTTTGTCAACAATAAATAGATGGTTTGAATCACCACCTTCAGTCTGGCCTCTCACTCCAGACTCCCATTAACACCACTGAATTACCACAGAAACTCAGTGTGTATATATGAAGTTAACCCACCTCACACAGAGAAGTCCCACCCAACAGCTTTCTCTTTTCTGGATCTTACCAAAGTTGTTTGTATTCTGTGATTTTACCTAGCACCACATAGGTACAGAATATGGTTATCGGATTCAGAATTTTGATTATAAGTTTTCTGGAGTCAGGGTGTGAGAAATTGATTTCACTAGCAGCTGACCCTCCACTATTTGCTCTGAAATGCATTGGGAATAGGTATAGATGCTGCATCATCTTCGTTGCATTGGTTTGAAGTGGAGCCATATGTACTGAATAAACCATCATCGTACTCAGATATATGAGGGGCCTGGAATCCAAATTAAACCAATGATTGGTGGTTAGCTAACGTGTCCCTGTTTCCTTAGTGCTGTGTTCCAAATACAGAAATTATTTGGATTTTCTGTTCCTTTTGGGCTAGTTTACACGCTACCATCAGCCGTTGAGTACAAATCATCAGTCACTGAGATCCACACTGGGTGACAACTTGCACGTGTGAAATAAATATTACAGATCAAATGCCACAGACAGAGTTGCCATACTTCTTAATATTACTTCAAAGGCATTACTTTTCAGTGCAAGCCATTGACTGCAAGACCCTGAAGATTTTTTAAAAGCCATGTAATTTTTTAAAAACCATGTAATTCTCTGAAAGACTTTTTTTTTAAAAAGTGAGAAATGATGAGCTATAGGAGAGAGGCAGACAACAAAAGGTCTCTTTAAGGATGTAGAGGACAGAAATAACTAGCAGACTCTGGGATGAGCCTACTTGCTATGAGATAACCCAAATATTTAACTTCACTCGTTTTGGGTTTCAAGTTTTTGTTCTTCTGACCTTATCCTTAGACCTTATCCTTAATGTTTGAATAGTTCATCTCTCATTTAGATGCAGTTTTTTATTTGATACCAATCCCTCCAGTTGTATTCCTTTCTATGTCAGGGATGGAGGAAAACATAGTTAGACCTTGCAAGTAAGGCTTGGCTTCTAGAGGAAGATAGCAGTTTGCTTTTCAGGAGCAGGCACAATAAATTAGTTTGCACCAGGATTGAAATGTGCTACACTGACATGTTTCCTCCTCCACAGACTACTGCTGGGTTCTGAAACAGTGATAAAGAGTTAGTAGTCATGAAATGGAGGTAGCACTTAACGTATTTAGCTGCTTTTATGAAGTATACAACATGTTGCACAGACAGGTTATTTGTGGCAATTGCCTTTTAATGTCCTATAATTACGAGGAACTTGCTTTTCACTTTGATATGTTTTTTTAAAGAAGAAGAAGAAGAAGAAGAAGAAGAAGAAGAAGCAGCAGCATTGTGGGCAAAAACAAAGTTCTGAAGGATACATCTCACATTAATTTCCCCAGAGCTGAAGTTAGCTCCATTTCTATAGTCCTGAATACATTTGCTCTAATCTCAGAAGGACTTGTCTAGAGGAAATGGTTTCCATCTTTTATTGCTAGATCTTGGCGAACATGCACTTGAAGCTTTGGAGGTTTGCCTTTCATAAGTTGGGTCAAAGAACCTCCCAGCTTATATTAAATTTCTAGCAGTGTAAAAAGTAGTCTGAGCATTTGGTTTGAAATACTTGTAAAGGGGGCTTGTTGCCAACTGCATTTGTGTTATTTCCTCACTCATTCCCAACTTTATTTTATTGTGCAAAGCTAAAATATGACTTGAGGGTTGGATCTGCAATTGGTGGGTTCTTAGACCAGGTGTGGGAGGCCTGAGCTCCCATCAGACCCAGCAGGCTTGGCCAGTGGACAGGATTGGTGGAAGTTTTGGTTCAGCAAAATCTGGAGTACCAAAGGTTCTTCCTGCCAGCTTTGATAAACCTGAAGGTGTGAGCAAGCAAGTAGATTGTCAGAAAGCATAATAGCCATCTCTAGTCATTATTGAGGACAGATCTTATATGCAAGTAGAACGTGTGATAGAGACCTTCTAGGACTTTACCACTTTAGATTGCAGGTAGGGCAATCATATAGCTGAATGTTCTTTGTAAAAGGTTTTCCTCCTATGAAAAGCTACAGTGTCAAGTGAAACCATTTCAACTTTACCTTCTTCCTGTCTTGTTAGCTTTTCATGTGCAGGCAGGTATATTACCACAGGGAAATGGTGAAAGAAGAAATTCTCCACTTGCAGATGTGCAGCAACCGGGAGAGACTGCAGTGTGTGTGCCATTTCTGCACCTTTATAATGGGCCTGAGTGACTGAAGGGAGACAAGTAAGATACACCACTAAGGTGTGATGAACAGGTTATTGTGGAGGTTGGTTGAAGAAAGCTGTGGTTGGGGTCAAGAAGCTACAAGCTTCATTGTGGAGCGGGAGGAGACTCTGACATCATAGGAAAATGTTTAAAGAATCTAAAGCTTGACCTTTTAGACCTCGTCATCTGTGAGAATGTTGGCTGGGTAATGCTAAACTGGTTTCAAACATTTTGTCAAAGGCGAACTTGATTCCTAAGGACACAGCCCTCAAGAATCTTACTTTAAATTATCTGGTAAATGGTTTGAAGAAAACTACCTAAGAGACTGAGTAAGCATGGGATTACTCAGAGAAGCACACTGATAAATCCTACTAATCACTGGCCGTTCATTACAGTCATGGCAGGTTTGTTTGCATACCAGCCCAGCAGGTAGACCCAGCAGTGTTATGTTATATTGCAGTATAAATGTTAATACAGTAAGGCGAGGGAACAATTTTCATGTGGATAGAATTAGATACATGTTCCACAATTCTTTTAAAAAGTTATAATAGGAACTGCAGATGGAATGCTGCAGAATTCTTGCACCCATCTAAATAAATCTGGTGTAAGGTTGAGTCTTGTTAATATTCTTAAACAACTCTCGTTATCCCTGGGATCATTAAGCAAGCCCATAGGCAATTCACTCTGAGCGAACTGCATTCTGTTTTATATTTACGCCTATTTATTCACAAATGGCAAAATAATTTTTACCTTGTTGTAAAATACCTCTTTTTGAAAAAGAAATGGATTATTTGTGAGCCACATATGTTGCTTTTTGTAAATGCAGTACTTACGTTTTTAATGCACTCTTATAATATGAATATGCGAATAGTAAGCACAGACCACTATTATTGATCAGTGATGTAATTGCCCTACAGATGGATAGAGGGGAATGATGTAATCTTTATCAAGTTACTGAAGACATTGACCTTGAGAGAGATCAGATGACTGAACATCATGGCCAATCGCTAGGAACAAAACAAGCATCTTAAAAGCTAAAATGCCCTTATACTGATAACAGTTTATAGAAGAATGAAGTTCAGGCAATTCAATCAGCATTCAAAATATAAGTTTCATACTGAGTAAGATAGCATTTGGATTGTTGGGAAGAACCAGTATTATTTTTTCTTTAGTTTTAATTTTTTAATGTTCTACATCACATGCACAAAATAACATAACTTCAGAACTCATTACCATTTCTAGTTTTCATATTTAATCACGGATTGGAGTATCTGTTTCACCATGGGCAGTGGTGATCTGCCCTTAGATCTACCCTTCAAGGCAATAATTCTAAATTGCTGTGACTTCCTGTTGCTTTAGGGTAAAGTTACCAGACTTGCAACATGTGTACATACACTAAACTGATTTTGAACTTTGAGATGCTGGAAAACTACCTTGTGCACACACACCAAAAGAATTTGGGCCTTTTATGCACCATAAAGCTGAAGGGGAGGCGGCAGCGGCGACCCTTCATGCAGCACGCCCGGCTTACCCCACCCCCAGGTGCCCAAGCAGCTAACTACACCGCTGACCAGTAATGCTCTGAAGCATTAAATATGGAAAATAGGAACCCAGTTCCTGCACCTCTCAGATGGGCACCTTTGCTATTGTAAGAGAACGAGGAAGGGGCTTATGGTGAGTTCCGGTACCTCTTTATCTAGAAAAATAGCACTGGGTTTGTTGTGTAACTGGTGCTGTAGCCTCACTTCTTGAGTAGCATAGAATTCTCCTGTATGTAACAATTACAGCTAACCACTGTAGCTATTGGCGATGTATGTGGTACTGCAGGTATTAGCAATACTAATGGAAAACCAGCAGTGTTTCTTTCAAATAAAAAGCATCCAATAAAACACATCACTGCGGTTACTTTGCTTTTTGGTTGTGTATCATTAGTGTAACTGTTCCAGAGATCAGTAAACAAAAAACAAAACAAAAAAAGGGTTGGAGCTTAATGATATAACTCCCGCGATATATACTTCTTCCTGTGCTTTTAATGATGAATCAGATAGCAAGATGGTTTTGTTTTTTAACTTGGATTTTATTTGGCATTTTGTTTGCTATTTCATCTAGTGGTGTACTGTTGACTTTTTGAAATGTAGCTATGACTCTGTATTAAATTGTGAACCACTTGAAAATTCATACACGCTTTAAAGCAGGATATACATTACCCAAATAAATATTTTTTAAAAAATATATACATTTGTACCCTGGTTCTTGAATGCCTTGGTACTTGGACGTTTTGGCTCCTGAACGCCGAAAACCCAGAAGTAAGTGTTCCAGTTTTTGAACATTTTTCGGAAGCCAAACGTCCAACGCAGTTTCTGATTGAGTGCAGGAAGCTCCTGCAGCCAATTGGAAGTCGTGCCTTGGTTTTTGAACGGTTTCAGGAGTCAAACAGACTCCCAGAACAGATTAAGTTTGAGAACCAAGGTTCCACTGTACAGCCATAGGGGTTCCATAAGTAAATACATTCCAAGGTGGAATTTTGTTTTTTAATGGAAAACCTTAAAAAAGAATCCTGCAGAATATTCACTATCCTCCTCCTGCAGGTCAAAAGATCAGATGTTATACAGATATATTTGAAAATAAAGTAGAACATTCAAAAGAAGATTATTCAGGCAGACATGGTGAGTAAATAGATGCATGGAATGTCTCTAGGCCTCTCAAGAGAGGTTACAAATCATCCAGCTTTGATGAACAAAAGTCAGAAGGTCTAGGACAACTTTTAAAGAGTTTAAACCTAGCAAAATAGGCAATATATGAACAAATTTCCCTTCTAGACGAGTCCTCTGCACGCAAAATGTGGTAGATACGGGTTGTGTGTGGAGTCTCTGTGTGTGTCTATGAGTATATACTGTCAACATTGATGGTGCTAATTATCTGTTTGATAAGAAGTGTGTTAGAGTGTGGGACTGCAAGTACATCCTTCCCTCGGTCATTAGGAACAGACCAATTCTGTTCAGCACTGACCCATCTGCTTGGTAGGAAAGAAGAGTCTTGCACCCTGCAGCTTGAACTATGTGAAGCTCTCTGGCTCAAGACCCATTGGTAACTAAAGAGATATTGTGAGTTCTTGAATCTCTAATATGAATTGGCTCCTGGCCTAGCCAATCTTATGCTTGCCTCCTAGGCTTCTGTTTGTACAGTGTAGCTTCCATTCAGTCTTGTCACCTCATAAATATGTCTAAATGTCTCTAAAAAGAAATTTGGAAGCTCTGATCGTTTGAACAGGAATTTGAAAATTTTGTCTTCTATTTTGAATGAAAATGCGTTTTGTACATAAATATAAAGGGAGTAGGCAGAATAATATCATTTCAAAGGTTTTTATCCCATCAGAATGGTTTTGGAATGACTTCTGAGAAATTGAAGTGATTAATGGGGTTTGCATTAATATTTTCACAAAAAGATTCCTTCACTGAGTTTGGAATAAGTTCAACTTCTGCTAGGAGGAAAATGTAGCACGTATGCAACATAGATATATTTTTTGTTAAAGTTCTTTCTCTCTCTGCTATTTCTAAAGGAAAAAAGTCATTTTAACAACATTCCTCCATGTCATGTTCTGAACAGGTTGACGTGCAGATTTGAAAAAAGTGTCACAACCTATCAGTTCATTTCTTTGAGATCCATTAGCAGTCATGTTCTTTTATGGGAAGATGGGTAGTGCCGTTGAGTTGAAACAAACATAAAAAACACCATAGTTACGATATTTTAGAAAAGGCTGCCATGCTGGAATGAATCTCAACATCTACCATGTTTCTGCCATGCCTCTTTGCATGGTCATTTTTGCCACAGATTGATGTCCATGGGATTCTGCTTGGGGACATGTGCCCCTGTGGTTGTGTGAAATTGCCAGGTGAACCAACAATGCCTTGCAGTGATTCCTATGACTGCTTCAATAGTTCAGGTGGCCATGGAACTCACTGTAAAGTACTTCATGAAATACTTCTGGTTCATATGTGATCATGCACCCTAGGAGTGGGAAAATGTTGTAAGTGTCTATATGAGTCAGTTTTAAAACCAGAAGGGGTTGGACACTAATGGTTTATCTAGAGCAGGGTTTCCAAGACTTAAGTATCCAGCTGATTTGGACTACAACTCTTGCTAACAGGACCAGTGGTCAGGGATGATGGGAATTGTAGTCCCAAAACAGTAGTGCAGAGTGGCTTCTTTCAGCTTCAAGCAGGTACCCCAGCTGCAATTCTTCCTGGAAAGGGATAGTGTTGATTCAGAGGCCTATGGTCTGGTAATTTCCCAATTAAATTATTGTAATATGTTGCATGCTGGCACTGACCTTGAAGACAACTTGGAAGCTTCAATTAGTGCAAAGTGCAGCTGCTAGAATGTTAATTGATTCAACTGGGTGGAATTGTATTACATCAATTCTGAAAGTGTTATACTGGCTGCCTGTTCACCTCTGAGCCCTATTCAAAGTGCTGTTGCTTACCTTTAAAGCTCTAAATAGTTTGGGGCCCTAATACCTGATGGAATGCCTCTACCTATATTAGTTTGCTCGTGCCTTAAAGTCTTTGAAGGGGGTTCTTCTCTGTGTCTCATCATTAGAGATGTGCAGCAGAGGGCCTTTCCTGTGATGACACACACCTCACCTGAAGGGTGTCCTCTCCTTAGCTTTTTTGACCCACATTGCTGCTGCTGTTTTGTTTTTTGCTGTGTGTCTTCTGATATATACAAGTTTAACCCATTCATGGCTGATTGCCAAAAATGCCGTTAACTCAGGAGTTCAATCACCAGACTCCCCCCCCCCCCCCATTTTATATTTTCCTCAGGGGCATGAACTGCTCTGATCAGGAGCAATGCTAAAACCTCATAAATACATTTTCCGTTGTCTACATCAAGTCATAGTTCTCAGTATAGGACCTCTTGCAATAAACTATTGGTGGTAGAACATCTGATTTGCATGCAGAGAGTCTCAGCTTCATCTCCATGTATAGCTGGGAATGTTTCCTCTTTGTAACCCAGGAGAGCCATTGCCAGTCAGCATGGGTAATACAGAGCTAGACGGACCAATAGTTTGACTTGGGTGAGGGCTGCTTCCTACATCTCTACTAATCCTAAGAGCATGTATAAAGATAATAACCTTGCTTGCTACAACTACTTTTTGTAAGCTACCTTGAGAATTTGTTGAAGGGTAGGGCAGAAATATATTGCATATAATAAACATGTCAGGCTGGCATCGTGCAACAGTTTGCCTGGCTATCAGCAGGTGCTGCTGCAAGCTACACCCTTACAATAGACTGGGCTCTCAGCGTTAGAGGGTGAGAAGGGGAGAACTGAAGGCAGAGGTGAGCAGGTGGGTGGCCCAGGCAAGCTGCAGAGGTTTGGTGAGGTCTAATGGGAAAGGGAAATAGGTGGTGTTGTTGGTAGGTGGGGTAGGCAAGCAAAGTGAGCATGGGCACAGCCCTTAATCCATAATAAATACTTAGCATTGTGTAATATTAGCACTTTACTAAACTGCATTGGTCAAATAAGTCTGGCCTTGCTTCTAGGCTCATGACAACAGGCCAACCATCTGGTCTTAATATGGTATTTGTATGCAGAAAGCAATCAACACTTTCTCATAATCTTCTTAAGCAGGGCATGGCTGGTTCTTTTAAGCATACCCTCTCTATTTTCTGAATAATCTGTATAAACAATTCCTGTTTGTTCTGCATTAAAAGTTCTGTCAGTGTAGTATTAATTGGTATAATTTATGCTGTCTTTTATGTTCTTGTCAAAATAACTTCAAGCAGTGTTGAAGTTTGTGCAAATTGTCTTCCACCATTATTTATTAACCTTTATTGCTGCTTAACTTTGAAGTTATGAACATAAGAACATTAGTCTGAAGAGCAGCTCTTAAAGTTCATCTAGTCCAGAGTTCTAGCAGCAGCCAACCAGGAGTCTCTGGAAGCTGACAAGCAGGGCATGAATCCAGAAGCTGCTTTCTCCTGTTTGTCCCCAACATGGTATTTGGAGGTATGCTGCCTCTGGGAAAAGAGGTTCTATTTTGTTGTAGTGGTTAATAGCTGCTGATGGACCTATCCTCAGTTTTTGTAACCCAGGAGTGGATAATTTATGTCCTTCCCCAAGATGTTGCTGAGTTGCAGCTCTCATTATCCCTGACCATTGGCCATGGTCAGTGTTTGAAACTCCCATTGTTCTGGGCGCATTTTGTGACAGGGAATTTCATTAGTATGAACAGTTTCTGAGCTCTGGGTGCAGTACTATGCCTAAGATTTCACATTAAAACTGCAGCTACTCTGAAGACTGGAGAAGAGGCCCTCTTGAGAATATTAGGGGGTTGGGTAGGGGAAGGACTAGACCATGTGAAAAATGAACATAATATTTCAGCTGCAGTTCATTTATTTTCAGCTTTGTATTATTGTTACTAAAAAAGTGCACCTAGACATTCTGTTGCTGCGCCCATAAGGTGCCATTTAGCTCCTAGCTTTCATATCTCATTTTCTAACACTGGTTATGGTAACTGGGCTAATGGGTGTTAGGAGTCCAACTACATCTGGAGGGCCTCAGGTTCCTCCCTCCTGTTCTAATACTTAAAATCATCTTCCCTAGTGGCCATCACCACATTGTGGGACCATGATTTCCATAAGTAAATAGTGAGAAGATGTACTTCATTTAGATTATCTTGCACCTCCTGACAATCCATTTAATTGCACATAACACCAATCTTGGCCCAACTGCACTGGCTATCAGTTGGTTTCTGAGTTTAATTCAAAATGCAGGTTTTGACCTGTTGAAGTCTTATGCATCTCAGGACCCCAATATTTCAAGGACCGCCTCTCCCCATATGAACCGACCCGGACTCAATGATTGTCATCCAAGGTCCTTCTCCATGTGAGATTCAGAGGGTGGCAACATGAGAATGGGCCTTTCAATGGGCGACTCCTTGCTTATGGAACACTCTCCCCATGGAGACTCACCAGGTGTCATTTTAGGTGTTAGGCAATTACCCAAGTTTTTGGCACTTAACTTGAAGGGTTTTTATTTGTGGCCTCTCTTGGTGTGTCAGAATCTGCTACCATGGGTAGGCAAACAAAGGCCTGGGGTCCGGATCTGGCCCAATCACCTTCTAAATCCAGTCCGTGAACGGTCCAGGAATCAGCATGTTTTTACATGAGTAGAATGTGTCCTTTTATTTAAAATTCATCTCTGGGTTATTTGTGGGGCCTGCCTGGTGTTTTTACATGAGTAGAATATGTGCTTTTATTTAAAATGCATCTCTGGGGCATAGGAATTTGTTCATTCCCCCCCCCCCCAAAAAAAATATAGTGTCCCCCCCACAAGGTTTGAGGGAAAGTGGACCGGCCCCTTGCTGAAAAAGTTTGCTGACCCCTGTGGTAGACCATTCATATAGATGTATTTGGTTTTAGTTTTTGTTGCTTGGATTTATTGTAATTGCTTTTAGTATCTTTATTGTTTTTGTAGGTTGCTTTGTTATTTCCTTGATTAAAGCAGCTAATAAATAATATCAGCAACAACATTCTGTATTACATGAGGCAGGGAGAAAGCATGTCGGCTCCTGGCCTTTTCCTTTTGTGAAAATTGCTGCGATAAGTGAGCTACTTATGTAGTACTGTAAAGTTAAGAGTGCTTATGAATTGCTCAACATGATTCTAAATGTATTACTTTATAATACATACATACATATAATACAATATAAAAGCTGGCGATGGGCACATGCATTGAAGAAGAGGCAAGAAATGTAAGCCCCAGAATTATTTTCTGTCTTTGCTTTTACACTGGGATGAAGAATTTCCAGGTTGCTGCACTCATCAAGACCTAAGCGCTCAGATACCCTGGAGAAATCCCACCAGCACGCAGTGGGACCACAAAAAGCATACAAGCCTGACAGCCTCTGATACCTACACATACAAAAACCTCTTGTGGGGGGAGAAAGCCCACTTCCTACAGTGGGCCCCTGGAGCAACAGCATCTACTGCAGAGGGTGGACTTTCTCTACAACCTGAGATTTTCGTTAGTTTCTCCCATATTCCACATAATGGAGTAATGGAGTTTTGATCATTGGCTTGAGTAGGGATAGATTTAAGGAGGCTGCAGTGGCAAAAATCACAGGTGGGGAGAGAGCCACATTCTCAAAAGGATTCTCTTGTGAGAACACTTCTTTCCATCCCCTGTGTTGGTGCAGCCTCTTTACCTCAGATGTTTTGCTAGAAGAGATGTCTCTGGACCATATAAAGCTGTCACTTGACAGCAAAGGATCTTTAAGGCTTTCAAGTGATCCCTAACTCAAATCTGAGGGGGTCAGATCTGATTTAGAGTTGCTCAGTTTATTTCTGAGTCAGTCCAGTGCTAACCACTGGTGGCCCGTCCATATTTTCCATTGAAACAAAACAGTGGTATTAGGGCTTTAACAGCAGATGAGAATCTGTTCTCTAGATTCAGTAACATCAAATTTCCATGAGGGTGGCTTACCATGGCATAGTATTGTCTATACAAAGAGTCTTATGTCATGCCAATTGTAGATCTTTTATTTTAAAAATTAAATAATAATATTCTTTTGTATGAAGGAACATTCAATTGTGAGTCTCATTATATATCACATAGAAGTGGGGGGAGGCATTAGAATCACAAGCATTTAAGAACAATCTCTTCTTTATAAGTAATGTGCTTAATTTTAGGGTGTCAGTGTCTTCCTGGGAATGTTCTTGCCTTCTGAACTTGAAGCAATCTTTCTGTTTTTTGTGGTTACAGCATAGCTGGAACCTGTAGTTATAGCGTGTGTTGACGGCACAGTTGTTCCTGCTAAGGCAAGTTAAATGATGTCGGGGAGATAGTTGCTTCTTGTTTCTCAGCCATTTCTGTCTTCTCCTTGGTTTGTCCTTTGAGAATATATATATGTATATGTATATGTATATGTATATACAGTGGTACCTCAGGTTAAGAACTTAATTCATTCTGGAGGTCCGTTCTTAAGCTGAAACTGTTCTTAACCTGAGACACCACTTTAGCTAATGGGGCCTCCTGCTGCCGCTACATGATTTCTGTTCTCATCCTGAAGCAAAGTTCTTAACCCGAGGTACTATTTCTGGGTTAGCAGAGTCTGTAACCTGAAGCGTCTGTAACCCAAGGTACCATTGTACTGTGTTTAAGATGGGAACAATAACTAGAAGCTTCATCCTGGAACCCTTTGTTCACCAATATATTGCTGGACATGAGCTGACCAGTTCTGGACGTTTTGTTCTGTGAATTGTTGCTCCATTTACAAAAGGATTGATTGATAGGTGGAAATAAAAAATTATCAAGCACTTTGTGCTTCATGGGTAAATAAAAACAGAGTGAGTTTAGTTTTCTGCTCAGCTTTGCTACTACAAATGAGAGAGGTTGGAAGAATGGTGTTACTTACCATGATACCCACTGGGTGCGTTTATGTTTGTCCGGCTTTGTCTCCTAGGCACATTAAAGCCTAAAATCTTAAGTGAAAAATTCTCTCTTCAGAAAATGCTGAATTCAAAATGTGGCTTTCTCCCGTAACGGAAGGTTAGGTTCAAAGATTCTCTATTGGTAAGAATAGCCTTTTGAAGTATTTTGCATGAGAACTAAAGCAGGAAGAGATTTCAGTGCAGGGCAGCCAAATAATCTTAGGCATCTTTTGATCAAATTATGTTAATATTAAACAATAATTCAGCCTCAGGTTTTGTTTGGCAGTAAGTTTAGCTGTTCAGTAAAGATAAACTTGCCACCAGATATACATGCCTTTATTCTCACACTCAGAAGTATAATTCTTGCTAACATTTTATTGGACATATTTTAAAGTAGTGGTCCAAAATTTGAAATGCCCAGGATTGCCTTTAGGCTGCTGACATCCTTCAGTATGGGCCTGTTTTCCCCTTCTCTGACTTTCACTGCCCTTTTTGTATGTGCTTGTATGACTAGTTATACTAGTCATCTGCCTTCACTTCCTAAGCCTGTTCCTAAGGCTTTTCATGGTGGAAAAAGAACCTGGGGCGGGGGCGGGGGGTTCAGGTCAAGTCTGGAAACAATTTCTGGTATTATTCTGGAAAGCTGATCAGGTTAGGGATGCCTTGTGCACCCAGTTACAAAAAAAGTTGTTCACAACCTCAGTCTGAATCTGAAAGAGCTTTTTCACAAAGGTCTGGCATTCAGGCTTAAATGTCATTACACTGCAAGTAGATGGCAACTTTCTTGGGACAGACTGAGTCATGCCATTTAAGTGTGGTGCTGCAGGGTGCAAGCCCACCTATTAGGGCATCTGTGCCTATTCATTTTAACTTCAGATTAATTAAGGTTAGATACTGTTAGAAACTGTTTACTAACAAAGGGAAGTTAAAACTGATGATGATTATTATTAGTGTTGTTTGTTTTAGATATGGATTAAATTCCAGTTAATTGGGCTAAGGTACACCTTCCTACTTGTGTCTGGCATGTGCTGACTAGTGTAGGGTGATAACACAAGGGCTTTCCTTGATCACTACAGTGATGCTGTCGTTGCTCAGAGCAAAGCCAAATAATACAGTCTTGAGGCACATGCAGAGTTTCAGCTGAACTGAGTCTGGGCGATAAAGCCAAAATTTCGATTGCTGAAGATGTATGTCGGTGCAGATACTTGGAGACAAAATAGTCCTTGTTGCATTTGATATAATGGTGTGGACCACTGCCAGATCTCTGCTGTTCTGCATTATTTATTGTACCAAGAATGGCATATTAGAGAAATATGTGAGCTTGGTATTTAGCTTAATTACTAAGATAGAATTGCATTTACAAGTGCTGAAAGGATTCTAGCATTTTTAGTGTAGATCAGTGACCTGACCTGGAAAGCCATTGATGATTAAGCTTACTTGCTTCATCTGACTCTGTGATAGTAGGATTAGAAGCAGTGTTCTTCAAAACAGCAAGCAGTTATTGGAGACTAGAATTGGAGATTCCTTACCAGTTACTCATGTGGATAATTATAATAGAACAATTTAATTGTATTTGTGTAATAGTAGTTGTACAGGGTCCACAGGTCATTCTGCTAGACATCTCTGCATACTGAATGAATGTCTGTAGTGAAAAGGTATTAGCACGCAGAGTAGTGTACATGAAGGCTTTCCTGGAATCTGCAACCCAGTATGCATGGACACCAAAGGAGGAGTGCACAACCTCAGGGGTGGGGCTACTCCGTGTGTCCTCAACCTTCAAATTGCCATTTGGAAACTCCACTTAATCATGCTTTCAAACTGTGGTTTGGACACCAATTGTAAGCATAGTTTCACTAACTGGAAAGCATAGCAAGCCTACCTCGGAAGTGCAAGGTGGAGTATATCAACCTATAGGGGGCACTTCTGATTGCTAAACTGTGCCTTGTCATTGCATCTGAATTAAACCAGTTTAGCATCTTCTAGCTGTATGTGAGAGTAGCTCTTTTTTGTATTAACTGAATGAGTTGCCTTCGTTCAGTGGAAGCCTGTATTTATGATACTGGACAATTCTCCCAATTCCCCTGTCAACCATGCAACTAGTTAGAAGGTGGGCATGTAATACAAATCCTTCTGATAATTCAGTTTCAGGAATGTGGCTTACATATTTCAGATAATGTTGTTGCTGAATCAGGCACAGGCAACCTCTACATCATGAGAGGTGAGGCTGTTGATGCATATGTGTTAAGCATTTGTGATAGGGTTGCCATATTTTGAAGAGCAAAAAAGAGGACGCTATGATGCCACTCATTTTAAATACCCTGATTATATGTAGGCTATAGAAGCTGTGCTATATTGTTGAGGGGGGCAGGAAAAGAGAAGAGGAAAGCAAGTCTTCAACCACCAGTTACGTCTATGTCTTATCCAGAAAGTATTGCCAGAAACAGAAATTTTATCCCTGAAAAAGAGGACGTGTCCTGGGAAAAAAGAACACATGACAACCAATAATGATGATGATGTGTGTGTGTATTGCCAGTTGATCAAACCAGAGGCACAGTCCTCCTTTTCTCCTTTTCCTTTCTAATAGACATATATTGCTCATATATACTGATTGCTTACAACTTCTATTTCTGTCTGCATAATTATCCTCGTGATTTCAGTATTCTGCCTTAGTGCTGTTTTTCCTTTTTCATGTATCACAGCATTCTTATCTGGTGAATTAAGATGTGAGGAGGAAGTTGTTTCTGTAAGGGTATCCAAGCCCAAAGTGTTGTGCTTTCATTTGCCTAAAGGATCTTTCAAGGGATGGTCTTTTAATACTAGTTCTTTGCTACAATGAGTATTTTAGTAGTGTTAAAACGCCTCACTTCAGTTGTGTCATAAAAGTCCAGGTGTTATTTTGAAACATACCAGGACAAGACCAGCCTAAGACATTTTGTTGCCTATGGCAAGAAATCCAAATAGCAAGTGTGTGTCCCAACATGCTACCATGGCAAAATACAACAGTTTAATTGTGCAGTGCTGTGCGCATTAACTCGAAAGTAAGCCCCAGTATATTTAGTAGGGCTTGTTACCCATACAGTGTGCAAAGATAAAAGTATAGTGTGCACAAAACTACAGTCCATAGCTGTCAGTTGAATACAGCAAGAGCAGAAAGGAACAGGAAACAGTTCTCACAGTGGAGATAGGAAAACAGTCGGCTTCCTCAAGGATCTGTATTGGAACAAGTGTTAAAGTGTTCTTTGTTATTTGTAGTTAGGGCTGAGTTGTAAAATAGCCAGATTTGCAGAGGACCTCCAAATATTCAGGATAGCAAAATCCAGAGTAGACTGAAGAACTGCAAAAGGATCTCTTCAGACTGAACAGGCAAGTGATGTTTGTTGAGGCAAAAAAAAAGTCGTAACTGAACTGGCAACTGAACTGGCAACAGCTAACCAATAAAGACATCTTGAGGTCACAGTTAATACCTCAGTTAAATATTCAACCCCCATGTTGCAGTGAGATTTTTTTTTTTTAAAGCAAATTCAATTAAAGGGGCTATTACAAAAGGATATTGGTGGTGGTGGTGGTGGTGGGAACTACCTGTATTATTAATTACTGTATTTTCCGTCCCATAGGACGCACCTAGTTTTTTTTGGGGGGGGGAGGGAATAAAGGAAATTTCCCCCCCTTTATTTCCTCCCCAAAACCAGGTCGGGGAACAGCAGTATGGCAGCGCTGCGCCTCCCCGCTGTCCCCCGAGCTTGTGGGGCTGGCCGATGCCTGCCCGAAGCGCGGGCGCTCGGCTTCAGCGCGCCCCGTGCTCCGTGCAGCAGGCTGCTATCCGCAGCCTAGGGAGCCCTGCGGGAACTCCCGCAGGGCTCCCCACGCAGCGGATGTCTGCCCGGCGCGCGGGGCTCTCTGCTTCAGGGCGCCCCACGCGCTGGGCGGCAGGCTGCTATCCGCAGCGTAGGGAGCCCTGCGGGAACTCCCACGGGCTCCCCAGGCTTGCTGATAGCTTCCTGAAGCCTGGAGAGTGAGAGGGGTCGGTGCGCACCGACCCCTCTCGCTCTCCAAGCTTCAGTGAAAGCCTGTATTCGCCCCATAGGACGCACACAGATTTCCCCTTCATTTTTGGAGGGGAAAAAGTGCGTCTTATAGGGTGAAAAATACGGTAATTAATTATATGATTAAAAATAACAAGGTGCCTTTATGAAAATTCATGTTGCAATCACACATAAAATAGTGTATACCAGAGGTGGGAAATGTGTTTTGGGCAGCAAATTTGATCTAATTGTGGCCAACCCTCTGTGAGCCAGATTTGACAGGTGGTTGGGACTTCCTTCCTGGCAGTCTGACCCAACTTTAGCAGCACCAAATTTCAGCATTTTTTTCTATTTAGTATCTCCCCCCCCCCCCCCGGAATACTCTAGGTAGGAGTGCCACTCCTTGCTGTGACTGGAAGCTGAAAAGAGCAGCGTACAGTAATGGCTGTGTGTGTATGTGCAACTTTTCAGGCAACTAGAACAATAGACCTACTACAAGCAGTCTCTCTGCTAAGTGAGTCAGTACCAAAACACAGCAAGGGTTTACCAAGTGCGTCTGTGACTCATTTTGCTCATCTACCAAATTGACTAACAGGACATAACTTCTGTTTCTGAAGAATCTTTCTAGCATTTGACTTTGCTGAATGTGCAGTTAGCATTGGCACATCTGAGATCAGGTTTTTTTCCTCCCACCCAAAGCAAAAGTACAAACGTTATGAAAAGAATTTCATGAACAAGTAAAATCTTTTTTTTTTTAAAGTAGCTTGCTTTATCCACAAATCATTGGTTTATTGCAGTAACGAGGAAAATAAACTGCTCAGCGCAGTCTTTTGTTTTGATACTCAGCCAACGGACGTTGCATAAAACAAGTTACAGTAAGGATTTCTTCCATGTTATCTCTTTGATTCTTGTTAATAGTAATGTTTTGTGTTGGAAGCAGTGCCATTCCTGAGGACCAGACAGAAAATCACACTTCTCCCCCTCTGGTGGCAGGGATTGGCAGGAGTTAGGAATTCTTGGTTTATGGTGGGAAATCTTCTGCCTTCTCTCTGCTCCCCTCATCCTACCCATTGCCAAGTTGAATGATGTGTGAATGCCAACACATGGGTCCTTTTGGACCCAGAAGAAGGAAGAATGCCCGGCGGGGGGAACAGGAGCGAACCCTTCTTGCGCATGCTCTGCCAATGCACGCGGGGACTAGGAACAGAACCCCTGCACAAAATGGTCACCACCTGTAATGTATCTATGATATAATAAAGTAAAGTTGAAGAGCTTTCTCTCACACTTCCCTTTAACCCTTTCTCCATGAGATAAGAAGAAAACCCAACATGCTTGCCCCACACTCAAGTTAGCTATGGAGTGTGAAATCAAGTCTATTTCTTAAGTACTTCTCATAGCTAACAAGAACGCTGGTGAATCACAGCAAAGAAAGGAAATATTGCCACAATATCTGAAAATTGTAATAACATTTACAGGAAAGGTCATTGCACCATTCATCCTTCTCTGAAAATATTCTGAGTGCCTGACAGAATGTAAGGGAGCTTCAGATTGTGAGACCACGCTATTACTAGCCTTTGATTTGTTTTAATACCAGCTGTTGTTTTCTTTTAAAGAAGAAGAGATAAAAGCCTCTCATTTTCAGTTTATGACACAGAAAAATGCATTTTCTCATAAATGGCTAGTTATAAAGTAATTTGAACTAAATTTCTGCACAAATCATTTCCAACAGATTGGCTGTCAAGTATAATAAAAGAAAGAGACAAGCACATCTGTAGAAACCGATGAGACTTTGTAAAGTAGCATTTCTCCCCACCCCCACCCCCAACCTTGAACTTGAAATGTGGTTGGAGATGTCAGTTTTTAAACAGTTCTTTGAGAAGCAGTTAACTTTTAAAGTGCACCAATTCACAGCACACACACAGAGTGATTTTGAAGAGTAAAGTATTGAGAAGAACATCGACAGATTTCCATAGTTAAGAGAGGCAGGCAAACACCGCAACTCTGAGATCCAAACTACATGTTACATTAGCTATGGAGCTGTACCTTTATGTGCTGGGTTTTTCTCTCCATAAATTGCCTGCAGAAGGGTTCCAATCTGGATTGGAGCTATGCTGGGATAGGCTTTAAATCTTCCCATCCTCACCCACGTTCCACCACTGTGGTCCTGATCTGGCACATTTGGGGGGGAGGAACCAAATCGCTGCCCTTAAAGGCACAGCTATGTAGAGATGGCAGCCTGTAGTTCGGTTGCGACACTTTCTTACAGGTTTTATATAGCTGGTATAAGAGCAACAGAAAAGAATACTTTTGAATGGATTTACTTGGCAACTTAACATTGAGGGAGACATTGCTGGAAATGCAAAAAGAGAGAGAAAAGTCTGACTCTATCAGAGTAATTCTTCCATAAAGATCCGTAGGAATCTTTAAAACGACAAGAAATATAAGCTTACTGTTTACAAAGAATGCTGTGTTTTGTAAGAGAAAAATGTCTTAGTTTTTCCCCCACAAGGCCTGTTTTGTTAGGAAACCACTCCCTTCTGCTTGTGCTGTTCAGGCTGGCTGCTAATTGCCTCCTGGTTGATGACATTTTCCATACATTGCCACATTGTGCCAGGATTGTTACATTTTATTGCTGTTAATTGTTTGCAGAACCTTGGCTTGCAATTTATGCCAAGGATGGCAAAGTGGTAAGTGACGAGCCCTCTGTATCGAGAAAGCCCGTATTGTTTTCCAATTAAAAAGACCCAAAATCTGAGTCAATGCTTTCTACGGAATGTTATCAGCCCTATTTCCCCCTGTTTTGAAATTTTAAAATACTGAAATTGGGAGGGAGGGGGTTAGCACTTCATCCCTGGTCAGTTATTAAGCCATTGTTTTCATTCATTCAGACTCTGTGTTACTGGAAATACTTCTTGCTTTGAAAAGGCAGGCTCTGTCCTCTAGCAGGCCACTCTTCACCATCTGCCTGATTTGATTATCTGGGTTAGACTACCAGTAGATTACCATTATTTGATTATCAAGGTAACTACCAGTAGATTGATTGGTAATTTCCAATGTTATCCAAACCATTTAGCGCAGAACATAGCTGCTGGATTATTGGGATTAATTGATGAGAACAGCTTCACTGGGTGCAAGTCCATTTTGGGGCCCAATTAAAAGTGCTGATATCTGAAGAGCTGCTGGGTGGTTGAAGAATTATCTTTTCCTACATCAACCAGTAATGTGTCAAGAACATAATCATAGATCCTTCAGTGGACACCCTTGTTTTTGGATGTTAGGCTCGTGGCTACCACAGGGAGAGCCTTTTAAATCATATTGGCCCGCCTTTTGGAATGTGACCCAGCATCCTACTGCCAACTCATACGTTTTTGGCATTGAGCTGAAACCTTTTTATTTTCCAAGGCCTTTTCATTTTATCTGTTGCTCTGATTTTGTGTTTTACTGCTCTGCTGTTTCTGTTGTTTGGGGTTTGTTTTAATATTTGTAGTGCTGTGAGTTTGGGGTCGCCAGACTCCCCTAAATTCCCAGAACCAGTAAGTGTTATAATTTAATCAAAATTTGAAGTGTTAAACTGGGTGCTAGACCCTTTTAACCCCAGGACACAGAAAGTGTTAAAATATAAGCCAGGCTAGCTTCTTCATGAGGTATTGAATGGGGTGATGAGCTATTAAGGAAACAAAAGGAAAGGTGATGGGCCATTAGGAAAGCAAGGAGAGGGGGCTCTGTACTAGACATCAAATGGGTGGGGTCCCTCTTAGATAGTTAGAAAGACAAATGCCAGAGTTTACAGCAGAGTTGGTTATGATGTGACCTAGAAGGGGAAAATAAGCTGCAGACTGAAAAAGGCAGAGAGGGAGCCATGGCTGATTTCTGCTTGTATCCAAGGCTGCAGCTGTGGTAGAAATAAGACCCTTTTGGGTTGTTAATGCTGTGAACCCTCCACCATAGGCTCGGGTATATGTAAATAACCCATATATCATAAAGACACAAGGAGTCTTTGCTGTGCCTCATTTCGAAAAGGAAATATGCACCTGGAACCCTGGAATCTTGAATCGCTCAGAGATTGGGGTGGCATGAACAATACTTTCATGTTTTTTTGCATACTGCTTTGAAAATGTATCAAAAATCAGCATATGAACAGCATAAACAAACAAACCATATTCCCCTTATGCAACAACTGATGAGGTGAAGCAAATTACAAGTGATTTGAAGAATATCTCTTAACCTCTCTTGTGGCGTCAGGCTCCCTTGTGAATCCCTGTAATATGCTACATAATGCACTTGGTAGAGACTAATTTTAAATTTGAGGGACTGGCTGGGAGTGAATGTACATTTGCATATATTTCCAGATTTGCATATAGTATCTAATATGCCTTTTGATCACTTGTAAATGATGTAGTTTTGAACAGGTGCATTAGCATACCTATAGAAAAGGAAGCTCTCTCTCTCTCTCTCTCTCTCTCTCTCTCTCTCTCTCGGAACGATGGTCCTTTCCAATATAAAATATGCTGGTGGCAGGAGATTAAAAGCAGGAAAATGCTGCTTTGTAGTGGTTCACAATGCAGGTGTACACATTGTCCTCACAGAGCTGTATGAAATTTAAACAGTAACGTCACTATATCTGTAAAAACATTTCATTTCATTAAAATTGCCTGCAGCAGTCTCCCTGACATGCCACCTTGTATATGCAGAGAGTTTATTAGGGGAGCATTTCAGCATTTGATGACCTGTATGAAGTGGTACAACCCATCAACAGACATATTTGTGAGTCTGCCGATTGTATCTTCCAGTCCTTATCTAGATATTTTTTATGCACCATTCTGCATTAATGAACTAGTTTAGTAACTTGTTAGTTATACTTTTTTTTGGGGGGGGGGCAATATGTAGAAGGACATAAGAAATGCAAAATAGTGTCGTATGCTTACAAAAAAATATGAGAATTTACCAGTTTTATGTACTCCCAGTTAGTTGCTCAGAGCAATAGGCAACAGCTAGTTGTTTGGGTAAACTAGAATCCTGATACTTCTTTTCTTTCACCAGATTATTTGTGTACATTTTCCGTGTTCATTATCATATGCAGTAAAACAAAATGTTGGTGGCTTGGATTGTATGACGTTAAGGAAGTACATGGAAGGAAGACTTCTTGTACTGTCCTCCTCCCTATGCACCCCACCCCCCAAATAAAACCATATCCGGGATGGGGGTGGTGTCATGGGGATCCTGTGGGGTGAGTTGTCCTGGGGCTGCTTTGAGAAGGCAGGGAAGGACACCTGTATTCCACAAACTTCCTCAAGTTGTCTTAGGAGCCAACCCAACGCCAGATTCCACATTATGCAGTAAAGCATGCATCTCTTTCGGATATGTGCACACACAGAAGCGCGCTCGCACATGCACATACATATGTTTGTTGGAACACTACTTTTCTATTTGGAGAGTGAAGCAGAGATGGTTGAAAATATAACCACTATATATAGTTTCCTTAAAAATGTTTAGCTAGCTACTTAAAATACATAGTAACTTAGCTGGAAAAGAAAGCAGCAACTTGTGTGGGAATCACATTATGCACAGTTGACATAGCTGAAGCTGATAATTGTGTATCCAATCACGGCACACTGACTTCTTCCAGGAAGTAATTTCAGTCAGGATAAAAATTCAAAAGAAGATGATGCCAAGTCAGCAGGCTAGTAGATAGAGTTGAGCCAGAGCTAGTCATTGAAGTTTTGGGGTGTTACGATTCTTCGAAAAGATAGTATGTGTGGCTTGCCAGTTTATATAATTTGGCAAGAAGTGAGGATTTCCCTCTTGTGAGGAGGCGATTCTAACCTCCTTGTTAACCAAAATTAGATTTTGTTTCCATTCTGCTTACGTGTGTGTCCTCCTGCCTCTTAGGACATGCTGTATGTATCCTATATTCCTTTCACTACTTGACTGGCATAACAAAGAAAAGGTTATTCTAACAGCAGCTGTAGAGAGTCATGGAAGTATAAAAACTATTACCACTGCTACCAGAGATCTGCCCTCACATCACCACATATATTCAGATCCATTATGACAACCATTGTGAGGGAACAGAATGGTGCAAGTACAGCAACAAAGCTAATTTGGCATTCCTGTCGCTGTGTCCGCACACCACTGACCTCCCTATTGCCTTGCCCTTACCGGCAGTGACCTCTGCATTGGGAAGTCAAATAAGCACCACCACCCTGCCAGCTGCCATTGCCCACCCTCCACATTAAAAACCTAAGCCATAAGACTCTGGAAAATAGAAGAATGCAAGTAGGACCTGCAACAAAAATTTCTAGCATGAGCTGTTCCTGCTCACAGTGCCACACATCTATATCTTCTGTCAGGATACTCCACCTCAGTCTTCCATCTCCACTTCCCTAGAGATTCTGACATTCTGTGGCGGTTGAGCATGCTCAGAGTTTTGTTTTCTTAGCCCTTGCCCAATATATTTATATGTATTTACTATCTATAGTTTACTTTCCACAAAGCTTGACATTTCCCAAGCATGCTGATGCCTCACTCTTGTTTCTGTCAGTAGATGTGTTTTGGCTACAAACCTGCCATAACTCTTGAGTTCACTGTTAGTGTGTGTGTGTGTGTGTGTGTGTGCGCGTGTGCGCGTGTGCATGTGTGTGTGCCATGATGTTGATTACCACCATTTCATGGGGGGGGGGGGAGGGCAGAACATCTTTCCTGTTTTGTTCCCCAGGTCTTAGAGATCTTTCTCTAAGTCATCCCTATGTAACACCATACTCCCCCCCCGCCCCGCCCCTGGTTCTGAGGCAGGCAGAATTCTATTTCTGCCTTTTCTTCTTTTTTAAAGGATCACAGCCGAACAGAAGCTGTCACTAGGGGAGAGGTTCAGAATGGCATTGCAAACAGAAGCTGGTCCCCAGGAATTCATTCTTTCTCTCTCTCTCTCTCTCTCTCTCTCTCTCTCTCTCTCTCTCTCATTCCAACCCTATAATAAAGTTCAATCGCTTTCCAAATAAATAGACATAACAGATTTTTAGTGAACTTTTAAAATTAGTATTTTAAAATGAATTATAATTATATATCACAGCAGACTCCAGAGTGCTAGATTTTCTTCTTTCTTTCTTTTTCTGGACATAGGAAAAAGAGGACAGTAAAAGCATTTCAATGCTTAAGATAGAAAAGAAAGGACAATGGATGTATCACATTCTTTCACTGAATAACCACCACCACCCGTCCCTTTTCAGATAAGAAGTAAGAGCTCTGCTTGGTGTTTGGGCTCTATTTTGATTTTAGTAGGACTGTACCAGTGCTAGTACTTCTGCTTCATTGACTATGCAAAAGCCTTTGACTGTGTCGACCACAGCAAACTGTGGCAAGTTCTTAAAGAAATGGGAGTGCCTGATCACCTCATCTGTCTCCTGAGAAATCACTATGTGGGACAAGAAGCTACAGTTAGAACTGGATATGGAACAACTGATTGGTTCAAAATTGGGAAAGGAGTACGGCAAGGCTGTATATTGTCTCCCTGCTTATTTAACTTATATGCAGAATTCATCATGCGAAAGGCTGGGCTGAATGAATCCCAAGATGGAATTAAGATTGACGGAAGAAATATCAACAACCTCAGATATGCAGATGACACAACCTTGATGGCAGAAAGTGAAGAGGAATTAAAGAACCTTTTAATGAGGGTGAAAGAGGAGAGCGCAAAATATGGTCTGAAGCTCAACATCAAAAAAACGAAGATCATGGCCACTGGGCCCATCACCTCCTGGCAAATAGAAGGGGAAGAAATGGAGGCAGTGAGAGATTTTACTTTCTTGGGCTCCATGATCACTGCAGATGATGACAGCAGTCACGAAATTAAAAGACGCCTGCTCCTTGGGAGAAAGGCGATGGCAAACCTAGACAGCATCTTAAAAAGCAGAGACATCACCTTGGCAACAAAGGTCTGTATAGTTAAAGCCATGGTTTTCCCAGTAGTGATGTATGGAAGTGAGAGCTGGACCATAAAGAAGGCTGATTGCCTAAGAATTGATGCTTTTGAATTATGGTGCTGGAGGAGACTCTTGAGAGTCCCATGGACTGCAAGAAGATCAAACGCATCCATTCTTAAGGAAATCAGCTCTGAGTGGTCACTGGAAGGACAGATCGTGAAGCTGAGGCTCCAGTACTTTGGCCACCTCATGAGAAGAGAAGACTCCCTGGAAAAGACCCTGATGTTGGGAAAGATGGAGGGCACAAGGAGAAGGGGACGACAGAGGACGAGATGGTTGGATGGTGTTCACGAAGCCACAAACATGAGTCTAACCAAACTGCGGGAGGCAGTGGAAGACAGGAGTGCCTGGAGTGCTCTGGTCCATGGGGTCACGAAGAGTCGGACACGACTAAACGACTAAACAACAACAGCAACCAGTGCTAGAAATGGCCTCATTGGTATAATAAATCCATTCAGTGCATTTGCCTGTCTAATTGCAAATTATTCGAGGAATGAAACTTCTGTTATGAAGATGACATCCTATGGTTCTAATTACACGTTAGATGAAGTTCTGTTTTCCCTCTCCCCCACTTCATCTGGTGTCTCCCCCCAACCCTCGGTAAAATCAGCCTGAGTCAAATTAGATTGGAAGGAATGGGCCAGAGACAGTCTGCTTGCACCTTTCCCTTCTTCAACTCAAAACTGCTATCTCACCTATTGATTGGGGGGAAGGTTTGGAGAGATGGGTTCATTTGAACCTAAATGTGGGTGAATCACTGAATTCCTATGGCAGTCACTCTCAGAGGTAACCATCGCAAATCTTTACATGCATTTGCAATCCTTTAAAAACAACAACACTAGTATCCTCTGTACTATTATTGCTATCATCATCATTGATTCATCATCTTCTAAACAACCAACTCAAAGTGATGTACACTGAAGATATTACTGAGACTACACTTGCCTTTACCATAAATTCCAGCGGTTTCAAGCAATGAACGCTAAGAATCAGGAGCAGCACTTGGCAGTAAATCCGAAGATTACCTGCTGAAGCGCTAGAGGGGAACACCTTTTGATGTGGGTTAGTTAGTTTATAAAGTAGAAATGCCAGCTGTGCGTTTTATTGCATCTTTTCCTCTCTCTCTGTTAATCTTGTGTTTAAATATGAGACATTGACTGTTGGGTGGAGTATTTAGCAGGAAATACTCTGCACAGAGTAATCATTGTTCTGCTCATGTCGCTGCATGTAGTAAATTAGCAACAGGGTCTGTTAACTGTTGTTGCTTATACTTTGCTTTGACATTGAGCTAAAACACTTGTTGCATCACTTTATATATCAAAGGATTCACAAACTGGATTTCCAACCTTTTCTGTTAACTACTTTTTCAAAAAGTAGCCATACTATATTTCCTATAATACCTATCAAGTCCCAAGTATGGTTGCCTGTGCACATGTATTTGAACTTATTATTGGTTAATACTGTTTAAACTGAGGTTGAGCAGACTTGTTTCTAATTCTAGTCACAGTAGCCAGATAACATAAAGTCACATGCTATCGGCTGGTCAGCAGTTTAGCATCCTTGCCTAATCCAAATCAATCTGATCATGCTGCTAACTTCAGAGTGGAAAGTCTTGGTTTTTTTAATTTTTGAGGGGAATGGATTAGAATTGGCCATTAATAGTACTTTTAAAAAATACTAAGCAAAATAAGAGATCTCTTTTTAAAAATAAAATAAAATGCTAAAACAATGAAATACTCCTGGGAATGAGCACGTTGTGAAATTGAATTGACCCCTCCTATTATCTAGCCCAGCAGAACGTCTGCGTGTATAAAAAGTGCTAAGTACTGTGAGTAGGTGGATGCAAAAATTGTCTTTTTTTAATTCAGGTTTTTGAATTCTTCCTGTATTGGACTTCTGATATTTTAATAATAGCTGGTTATGTCAACAAAACAGCTGACCCCAGCAATAAAAAGGTACAAGTTATTGTAAGCTGCAATCTTGCTGTGGCTTCTTAGAGTCCATTGACTTTAATGGGATTTAATAGCTTATTTGTGAACAGAATTGCAGCCTTAGGGTACAGTCAACTGTCAGTTTTTCCACCTTCCCTTTCACCTCTCAGGTTCCTCTGTACACATAAGCTTTCTTCTTCTGACCACCTCTTCATGTCAGTAGCCCTTCTGCAAACGGAAACCAGAAATTGCGGGAAAGTTGTTTTTGTCTAATAGGCTCCACCTAGATGTGTCTTGTGCTCCTCATATCTCAGTTAATATGAGATGCTGAGGGGCTTCAGTTTAGAATGGGTGGCTTTCCTGAGGCACAGTGCACTTAGCTTAATAGTAGCCCACTGAGCGGAGGAGCAGCCTGGTTTGGAAGCCACAGCTAGCATGGCCAGTAGTCAAGGTTGATGGCAATTGTAGTCCATCAACAACTCGAGGGTTGTGGGTTTTCTACCTTGGGCTGCACTGTGCAATATGGCAGCCTTTACATCCTAGGCAGATGGGAGCATCCATACCTCTTCTGGGAATCCTCTTTGGTTATAAGTCACTTTCGGTGGCCCTGGGCAATATAAAGCAACTAACAAATTTAATAAATAGACACTGCTTAATCATAGACACCGGATAATCATTGTACTAGCAGTGTTTAGAGCAGGTAATAAGATGCCCTGACCACAGTGCAACGCAAAGTTGAACCCAATGAATGAATTTCAGTTAACTCTTTGTTGGATTGTGGCCCCTGTGTCTCTTTGGCTTTCAGCAGTGGGGTGTGGAGTGAACCCTGGAATTTTTAATTAAATTTAGTGCAGCTTATGCATTCATGATGAGCAGTGTGTGTTTCATACTTGGAATAGAAATAAGTGATCCACAAATGTATTTGGTTGTGGTCAACTAAGTCCTACTTGGAGTAGGCCCATTGGAATTAATGATACTAAGTTACTACATGCAGGTTCCACTGTCTAAACACAGTGCGTTCCCAGGAAATCATTCATTAGGTGACCGTTCACATAACAAGCTGATTATTTCCATTATTTTCTATGGGAATATTTCTAATCTGTGATTTGTCCAATCTCTCTCCTTCCTGGGTTTCTGCCCCAAACTGCTGCAGCCAACCAGCAAAAGACAAACTACTCCCTGTCTGATCTCTCATGCTGCCTGATTTGTCTGATATCTCTGCCGCCATGGTTTTTGCCCAATATGCCTGTCTCCAACCAGCAAAACACAAATAAGCAAGGAAGTAGGGAAACTCAGGTAGTGTGGGCATCTGAATCAGCTATTCGTGTAGCAAGGTTTAGATATAATTCTTTGTGTTTGGATAACTGAAATTTCAGATAATGAGTGTTCCAATAGCAGGACCTGCATGTAATGTCCATTAATTTCAGTGGGTCTTACTCTGTGGTGGTGATATTACTGCTAAAGGAAAGGATAACAAATTCACTACTTCGAACCCTAGAAACATGTTGAAGATGATGCATACTATGCATTTTAAATAATGTGAATGGCATGCACTTGAAAAAAGCCTTGTTTCATCTCTGCCTGGTGTCACTGGAACATGAGTCAACCTGTTTAAGGCTTATTCCATGCAAAAGAGAAGAGGAAGTGAACTAGTGTATACAAGCGAATGAAGGATTAGTGATAAAATAATATGAAAAATTAAATGGGAACATGGTTGCTGGCATTTGTAACTGCATTTTTATTAGTGCTACCTGAACTGAATTAGAACAACCAAATTACAGAGCACCTCGCAAGACTGAAAGAGGGACGTATTGTGCAAATACCAAGAGAGTAGAGCATTGTTAGGCACAGCTGTCTGGCTTTCAGATCAAGCTTAGGAGCTCCCTTCTCCTCATAGCAAAATACTTTTGCTTGCAAAGGAAAATGCTATAGTGCTGTTGGTACATCATTTCCAACTGTTAATACATTGGTCTCTCATATTATAATTTGAAGCATGGTATGTTCCATCAAATTTTATTACTGTTGAAAAACTTGTTTATGCTAAATTAAAGAAATGAAAGATACAGACCCACCATAACTCTGGTTCAATTTTGTAGTTGTATTAGTTAGCTTTCTTGCAGTAGAGGAAATACATAAGGCCCAGTCCTGTTCATCAATTAGTTTACCAATTGGGCCAATATGAGAAGTGGCCTGCCAGCAAGTTCTGTTGCCACGCATACCACTTCCTTTGCAAGCATTTTGCTTTCAGATGTCATTGAATGATGATGGATGAGCCATTTCAGTCAATAATTTTGTGTGTGTGTGTTTAAAGGTTTGTATTAGGTATGCTCTTATAATTGTAAGTCGCTTTGATACCTTTTGTGCTGGGGCCATCCTTCTGTGCAGTAGTAGCACAGTTGGAGTCTGTGCCTGCGGAATATTCTGTAGTGCACTGCAGTGGAACCAATGATCTGAGAGTATAACATGACTTCAAAGGTTCTTACATTCTGACATAAAGTTAGGTGAAGGAGTCACTTTTTAATTGCAGATTTTGCTGTTTCATTAGCCATAAACTCACATCACCTGTTCCAAAATATTAGTGAACAAACTGTTTTGTATTTATACTTTTCTCCACACTTCAGTCATGTACCTGCACATAATTTACATGGGGGGGGGGGAGGGAGTAATTTGGCACAATGACCAGAGGGTGAAATTCTAGTTTGGTACTTAGAAGTTGCATGTTTGTCATGTTCCTTACATCCACTAGCAGAAATTCCTGAACCACAGATTATGTGTCTCAGATATACGGGAGGTAGTATAACAAATACAGAAAAACAAACTAGGGAAAATATAACAATCCTCCTTATTCGGGATTGAAGCTGGGAATCTGTGAACATACTGAATGCTCTTTAACTGCTGTTGTACTTTATACTGTAAGTGTTTTTCTTAGTGGGTGGGTCTGGATGATAGCCAAGTGGAAATTTTCACAGCACTGCAGAATTGTACAGTGCACTTATTGCTTCAGATTGTACAGTACCATGCAGACTTATGATGTATTCCTAATAACAGCTCTGACCATGCACATGCTTATGTGTGGGTGGCCTCTTCACCCCTGTGTACTAAATGAAGCACAGATATAATGCCGATATCGTGACAATATAAAGCCCCACCTTTGCGGATTACTTTGCTGTAGTGGAGCCATATGTGTTTATGTGTTTACCAAGGAAGTCCCATCTCAGTTGTGGTGGCACAGAAATCGAAACTGCAAGCACAGCCAGTCATTAAGCTTGGGAGCCAGGAGTGAGATCCCCAGTCTTAATTACATTTGTTCCTTTAAGCTTATAGAAACCTACTGACAATTTGTCAAGTACAGCATACAGATTTTCTTACTCAAAAAATGTTCTATTTTATTTGAAAGAGAGCACCACTGAGGGCCTGTGAACAATCCAGCAATGCCTGCAAATTCTTCAAGGTGAAGGATAATCTGGGAGTCCCAACTGACGACAGTGAATGTTGTGAGTAAGCTATGCAATAATCATTACTGAATACTTCCTCTGTAAATATTTTTTGGCATTGAGTATAGTGGTACCTCGGGTTAAGTACTTAATTCGTTCCAGAGGTCCGTTCTTAACCTAAAACTGTTCTTAACCTGAAGCACCACTTTAGCTAATGGGGCCTCCTGCTGCCACCGCGCCGCCGGAGCAGGATTTCTGTTCTCATCCTGAAGCAAAGTTCTTCACCTGAGGTACTATTTCTGGGTTAGCGGAGTCTGTAACCTGAAGCGTATGTAACCCAAGGTACCACTGTATTTAACGTAATGGGTAATAGTGTGTGGTGTTCCCTAGTTTTCATATGGGACATGTTTTCCTTTCAGTCCTCCACTTGCATTGTAACACTTATCCTTGGAGGACATTTCTCCCACACATGAATAACCAGCTCCATCTCTTATATATGAACTGTACGAAGATTCACAAAACAAATAGCTAGAAGTGTTCTATGTCTTGGTACACCTGCCAATTTATGACTCCTTAAAGAACTGAAATTTTATTCAGATGTAATATGTAATATTGAATAATACAGCAGATGTATTTCAGCAGTAAAAATGTGATGCCACAAAGTGCCATATATATGAACAAGGTTTTGTTTGTCTTAGCTGTTAAAATATGCATAATTATTTTACAGGCTGCAACCATTACAGGCGCATCCAAATGACACGTGTTCGCCAATGTATGGGTCCTTTTGGACCCAGAAGACATCAGAACAGAGGCGGGGCATAGGAGGGCGGGGCACACTTATATGAGCTCCGCCAATGTGGGGCAGGGGGCGTGAACAGAACCCCCATCCAAAATGGTTACCGCCTGTATATAAATTTCATCTCTGACTCTCAAGAAGGCAGCAGCACTTGGCATCTAGCTCTACTTCCAGAGACTAATAATGCTAACTTCACACATATATATTTGGGGGCATGTCTCCCTGAATTTTGCCTGCAAGGAATTGAGTTTACTAGTTAAGTACGGTGCAGTCCTAAATACTCAAACTGGGGATAAGTCCTATTCAACTCGGTGGAATTTCCTTCTGAAAAAAGCAAACATAGGATCAGGGTGTACGGCTGCAGTCCTGTGCACATTTATGTCATTGAAGGCAGCAAAATGTAACTTCTAAGTAAACATGCATGGTGGTTGTGGTCTTTTTTCTTTAGATAATGTCTATGAGGCAGAACAATGCTAGACTTCTTTTTCTTAGAGTGATAGTATTTTTCAGCATCATCGTTATCAAGCTGTAAATTTTACCATTGCTATATAAACCCTTATCTGTTAAAATTTTACAGCTTAGTGATTTAAAATAGCAACAACTATGGGCAAAAGTTCATACAGCATCTGAGTTCTTAACTTAGAAATATGTGTTCATATTATACTTGTTAAGTGGTTAATCCTGCTGACAAATCTGGAATTCATGACAATGAAATGGGGGTTGCTAATTTTTCTAAAGAGTGTTCCATAGCTAAGGGTTGGACTGATGTTTTCATTTCTGGGGTGAATGCAATCAATTTCAGTTTCAGCTAAAGCATTTCTGCCTTTTACCTATAATTACATCATTTCACCACCAGACACAATGCAGAGCCAAATCTCATTTTAAAATACTGCTTGGAGCCAAATCCATCTAGAAATTATTTGTTTACAAAGCAGCATCTTTTTTCCTCTAACTTACACCCTCCATTCTTTCTCTTTTGGATGGTAGCAAATATATTTGGCTACAAATTTAGCATTGTGAGATCCCAACCATCTGCTAAGGAAGAACACAATTTTATTTAGAAAAATAATGCACATGGTGTTATGCTTCCTTTTATACATGCAGGATATGTCTAGGTATTAGCTTTTATGGTTGGTGTCCACTACACCTGGCAGGGCTGCTAGGGAGTCATGAGGACATGGCCAATGAGGCCGTGGCTCATGACCAGTTGTTCTGATTTTCTTCCCATTCATCTCCTTTGCAAAGATACTCTGGACACTTAAGCATTGCCGCTATACGAATCCTTAGCACCTAACAAATTTGGAAAGTGCCCTACTTTGGTTTGGGTCCCTGCTGTCAGTATTCTTTCTCTGTCGGGAGAAAGGTTGTGGGGGGGGCACCTTTTCTGATTCTCTCTTTATCATCCTTTGCAACGAAACAGTGGACACTTAAGCACTTACAGTTTCATTTTAAAAAATGAACTAGTTCTGGTTCAAGTTAATCCTTTTCAAAAAGGAATTCGTTGCCGTTTCTGCTCATCCTTTAACAAAACAGATCAGGTTCAGCCATAATATGTTTGTGGTTCATAAAAAGTAAAGTTCACTGTTTGCAAAATATTTTCAGTATTCAAAATGTTATAAGCTGCTGTACTGAAGTACATGGTCCAAAAGTTAAATCAGGGGCTATGGGTAACTAATAAGATGTGTTACAGATGTATGTCACCCTTTGAAGCTTTCCCCATAATTGTATTTTCATGCTAGAAAATGCTTACGCTGTTCAGTTTGTGCCAACCACACAGCTGTTAAAGGCACAAGGTATTGTCTGCTTTGTTCCTGGTCCCTGTACTTCTCACTGCAAGCTGCTCCTGTTGGAAGAGACTGCATCTCTTCAGCAGGGCAGATAAGGAAATGCCTCACATACCTTTCTTTGGATTGCTTAGCAACAGTAACTGAGCGTCCTTAGTAGCAGCAGCCTCCACCTGCCAAATAAGCTTTAGAATATTGCCTCTAGTTTTGCTTTCTAACTTTCTTCTTCCTTCCTTTCTGATTGACTTCGTTTATTTTATGAAAGCTAAGAGTCCAGGCCGCTTGCTGGGGGGGATTGGGAGGGAGTGAATGTGAGGCTGAATTAGAAATCATTCAGAGTTCTACCCCAAAATAAACTTAATTCATCTTTAGTTCACCTGGCAATTATGGCAGCTACTTCAGAGATTTCTGAACTAGTTCAGTGAACTTCACTAAACTGATTTAGTTCATCCCAAACACTGGTTCTTCAGCTTATACTTTATGCAGTGGACTTAAACTGTTTTAACCGTTATCCCATTTCCCCAGGGAATTGTTTGTCTGTGAATTAGTTTTAGATCTAGAACTTCCAGACTTATTTGGGGAACTGGCATAACACTGATACATGCTTTAATGTAGATAGTCCCTGATAATTGTCAGGCCCGGTCAGTGAACAAGTCCATGTGCTGTGTAGACGGTGTCATGTTTGATTCCTGTACTAAATGGCAGAGAGCCATGCACACATTCTTTCTTTACACACCATTTCACTTGTACAGCATGGCAGCCATAGAGTCCCAGTACAGTATGGCAAAAATCTTTATGCCGTGACATAAAAAAGAAAGTGTTAATTCACATTTTGCAAGGCGTTTTGAATGCAGGAAGTACTCCTGCCATGGACCTTGAGAATGGCATGTTGTGGGTCTCTTGGGAGAACTGTCGGCTTTTTACCATGGCAGAATGAATGGAAAGTTTTGACACAGTTTGAAATTTTGAATTAGTCTGCTTCTAAACTTGTTTGCATCTGTTTACAGGCTCACTTCGTGCCTTTTTTTTTTTTTAACAGAAACTGCAGACTGCCGAGAGAGGCAGGGCATCCATATGTCTCTGTTCTTGTAAGCAACTCTCTTCTGTGAACCACCTCGTATTTTTAGGGATGGGGCAGAAAGAGCAGGAATTGCAATTATTTGAAAAACGCAGTCTCTGAAAAGGCAGTGATTTATTCTCAGGCATTATTCTTGATTAAGAGCCACAGACAGCTGCTGCTTGCCTTTAAATAGGCATAGCTCTGTAGGCATGCTGTACATCAGAGTTCAAGGGACTAATAGATCTCTGCCAAAATCATAAGTATTTAACACCAAGTGAATAATAACTCAGAATGCCTTGTTTGCTGGTTTCTGGTTTGTGTCCTGTGCTTCCAGTACGGAGCAGAAGTTCTCATTTGTTTTGAGCTTTACCAGTCATATGGCCTAAGACCCAACAAATTTGAGTTGTATTTTGCATATCTTTGTTTTCCTCCCAGGTAGAAATGAAGGAAAGCAAAACAGTAGAAAAAGGAAGGATATCACATTGCTTAAATGGCTGTTTTACCCCAATCAGTAAGTTGTTAATGAAATGTTTACGTGGGTTTGGGGCATGAGTGAGGAGATAAGGACACACTTTTCCTTCCTAGCCAAGATATAATGGAGGCTGATAGAAAGGAACTTAAAATCCTCATAGCAACTTTTCATCCCATACATGAAGTAGATAGATAACCAGGAAAAGAAACCAGTTTCACATTCACTCCAGAAAGCAATAAAAGAAACACTACTCTTAAGTAGGCTTCACCTGACAGGAAGTCCCATGGACATCAGGGAATATGTTTTCAAGCAGCTAACAATCAGGCTCCAAGTCTTAGTTTGGGCTGAATATTAATGAATAGTAATGATTCAGTAGTTGCTTAAAACAAGCAACATAAACCCTTCCAAAGATTCAGTGTAATGTTTTGTTCTAAAAAAAATATGGATGTGTATTTGATTACATTACACAGATCTACCTTTAGAAACCATACTTTATGGTGCATAAAAAATGTAATGTTGGGAAAGCAATAAACATTCCTGCTTTGGAGAAAAAACCTAGTGCAAAACTAATCTTACAATGGCTTTGTATTATCTTATAATTCTCAATGGAACATTTGAGCCTGGTAATTGGGGAGTTCCTTCACCATTCCTGTGATTCTTTTCTTGTGAAATACTGAAAATCTTCTAGAAGGCAGGATGTTCTTAGTATTGATCTGTGAAGTCTTTCCATGAAAATCAAGAGGGAAAATTGGGATTAATACTGTTGCACTCCACCCTTATCTCCGAACAGTGTTGGATCCCAGGGTTCCAGTTGCTTTCCCAGGGTTCGTGTTTCCTTTTGGAATGAGGGACAGTGGAGACTGTGGTGTCTTTATGATATATGGTTAATTTACACATACCTACAGCCTGAGCCTATGATGGAGGGGTTCGCAGCATTAACACCCCAATAGGGTCTT